CCTCGAAGAGAGAAAGATATATATATATATATGTATGTCTACCATGGAAAAGAAATCAAAACAGTGCTTCTTTTAACAAGACTTTCTCCTCCAAAAATTACCTCGAACATTACACTTAAATATTCCAGACCAAAAGACAGCAGCTTTCATGGTAAGCTTGCATACTCTTCATTCAGGTCAGACACTTACAGGTAGCAAGTCTTCCTCTGGAGGTTCTTCTGAAGACCATGGAGGCGACTTTGACCCGTTTGCCTCATCTTTAAGACCGGCAGATCACACCCAAGTAATTGAAAGGTCTTTTGAATTAAGTTCTTGGCTGACTTGTAAGGTTCAAGTAAATCGTGCTTTTTAATCAAGTCCTATGTCTCAAGTGTCATTTTCACCCGGCATGCCTCAAATAACCCGCGTACCAGTCGGTCGCAAGACCAACCGCACCGGTGTTATCGGCTCTGAGACCCCTCAGAGTTTCGCATCTTCTTATGTCACTAAGGTTTGTTATTACTACCCTCTTGATATATGCGGTCAGCTAACGTATCAGGTTGGGTCGACCTCCTCATCTAGTCAACTTGGCAGCCCTTATACGCCGAGCACCGAGGTCAGTGGGTCAGCGAACATCGCTAGCCGTCTTCGTAAGTTCTTTGGTTGATTGTATGTGAAGCACGAGGACATAGACATGCACAATGTGGACTTAGAGGCGAGTAAGGAAGTGATTGGGAGCCAACAGGGCGATAAAGTACGTAGGGAAGCTTACACTCGTTATTGAATAGAAATCTGAATCCCACATATTTTTACCAGTGATACTATGTGCGAATGACCACTAACTTCTTTTCAGTTCGCTGTGCCTCGGGCGTACCTTGAAGGGTACTTAGGCAACTTCTTCACCCGCAATTCAGTATATCAACTGGTTCACTCGCCGCGTTCCTTCAAAAATGCTGGCATTATCGATGTCTCGGGAACTCCATCGGAAAAGAAACACATGCATCAGGACGTTTTTCGCCGCGTACATCGTGGTGGGACGTCGGACGATAGGTATCTCAATCCTGACAACGGCCGCGTGGAAGAACTTATTGTCCAGAGCACAGACAAGATCTACCGCGGACCTAGGAACTCAACATATAAGCGGACATTCATTCGAAATGTAGCTCCTAAAACCCTCAGGGTTGCTGACTGGCCAATGAATCATCTCGACTACGGACCTCAAACCCAAAAGCCCTGGGCACTGTTCCTCATGATAGTGAAGTGGCCAGTTACGTGCTGTGCATTGTTCATTATTGTATGTCAATTGTGCATTCGCATTCTTCCCTCCGTTTTATTCTTTCCGCGTACTACGGCTCTAATACCCTGTTCTCAGATTGGACTTCCAGGTGTAGCATCCACCGGTGAAGTGGTAAATGGGGGTTGTTTTGCTCCCTTCCTCTATAGGTATTGGGGGTACTGCAAAATTCCCCGCAATGCCCTTGAAGCAAGCGTCAAAGCTACAAAGTCCCCCAAGGCAAGTAGAAAGATGCCTAACAATCGCCTCCTCGAACCTAGAACTCTTTGTTTCTGCACTGGGCGGAAGTGTTCCCTCGAAGACCCCAACTTCCCCGGTCTAGAAATGGAAATGGGCAAACCTCAACTAGTATGCTTATTCTCATACCAAACGATTGTTTTCCTCTAGGGAAGCTAAGGAGCTGGGGGCTATTTCAGGAGCCCATATGCCGACTCTCGAGTTGGGTCCTAAGCTCCTCTTCTTTCTCTAAGCACTTCACTTTTACTTTGCTAATCCGCTATGACAGGTTTCCAAATGGAAAGAAGAAAACCATACTCAAAGATGCCCGGACTATGTCTTCGTCGCATACTCATCTGAACATTTCCAGGACAGTTCTATACCCGATCTGCTAGCACTCCATAGTCTTGCGGCAAAGGCAACAAGAGAAGCGGGTGTTGCAGCTTATTGGGTAGGAGCAAGCTGCATAAAGAAAGCTTGGCTTGAAGAAGATGTATTTCGGATTAGTGACATGGTACGAGGAGCTCACTCTTTAGCCATAATTGTTGGACCCGAGGTCAGAGATCAAATGGAGTCGCCGCTCCAACAGTTCGGCAAGCGACTCTGGACACTCCCCGAAATCTTACTAAGTACATCACATCAGCCTATTCAGGTGTGGCATCGAGGGAACCACAATTCCTTCAAAGTTTCGAAGACGCAGCTTTCATCTCTAGCGTGGACTGACGTCCCAACAACCAGGCAACTTGTTGATCATTACGCGGGCAATTTGACCTTGAGTCGCTTGGAACTAGTAGTCATTGGATTAAAAAGTCTCTTTGCTAGAAAGACGACTGAACACTTACCTGTAAGTAAATTTCCGGTTCTCGGTTATGGATCACTCGCCTCTTAAGACTGACGAAAGTATAGGGGGATCACTCATATGCACTCATGGGCTTGCTCCGTCGAAGACCAAAGATCGACAGCACCGATACTGGCTTTCAAGCCTTGGCACGACTTTCTCTCGCAAACGACAACGACCTGCTCCTTGAACGTTTAATGTGTGTTATGCCACGCAGCCCCGAACAGCCTTGGTTTTCTCTCAAAGATGCCTACGGAGTCAAGCTCTGGGACATTATTCCAACGTGCCAAATCTCTGGAATTTGCGAAGATGATACTGTTCTTCTGGATGGCGCGTTCGGAGCGACCATTCACTGGGACAGATTCCGTAAAGTAGCAAATGCCCGGAGAGCATGGAGCTGGAAGCGCCTGGCATGTCAGACAGCGCTCCATGGAGCTCCATATGTTGATTTTGGGGTCCATTTTGCTGTCTCGTTCCATCGATACCCAGGAGTTGCTCAAAGGCGTCAGTACCAGCTTTGGCGGACTTAACACATTCTACAAGGACGTCAACAATATTTACAACAACCTCGCATCAGAAGTAAGAAATCTCGCGCCAACAGACACTACAATGAAAGCTGCGGCCACCTCAGCAACTGCCTCTTTACCGTTCAAAATAGAGTCAGCAGCTGCCTCTTTAGAATCCCAAGTAGAGTCGAAAATTGACTCCAAAGTTTTCGCCTTCGCCGATAAAATTTACAGCGCCGCGCCTCAAATCCCAACCCCCATAGTGAAACTTGAAGCTGCTGTGGTCAGTGCAAACAGATGGGCCGTACTATTTGAAGTTTTCAGCATTTTCTTAATCCTTCTCGCAAGTTTTATCTTTCTGTCCACTCCATATCTAACTCGAATGCTATATCGAGGGAAATTTTGTAAGTGATATTTCTGCGAAACACAACCTTGAGGCCACTCAAAACCGCTAGATCATGTCATACTAACTTTTCGTTAGGGGGTACACAGTCCTGGCTCTTCGGCTTCGAAGGGTACTTAGACATCGAAACCATTGAGTCACAAATCTTCGGCTCCAAACTAGGTCGCCTGCACTGGAGCGAATACGGATCAGCCCTTTCACGCCACAAAAGTGATCAGTTCGGTAATTGTGAAGGTATTGATCCGACAACAGACCCAGCTGTCCACCAAAAAGTCAAGGATGCCATCAATCCGGCTCCGAATGCAATGCGTGTGTTTACACTAGTGGACACAAGTATGATGACCGTAACATTGTTTGAAGCAAAAAGACCTCCAGTGACAGTGTTGCTTTGCGCTCAGGAAGGTGGTATGCAACGGGCTATTGCATGTTCTTATGATTAGACTACTGGGACTTGCTACCGAGAGACGGTGCTGAGGATGGCAACTCCTATCTTAGAGCAAATGTCGAGGGTTCCAAGGGTTAGATTCGGGATGAAGCGGAAGAATGGACATGGAAAGAATTAGCTATTTGTTCTTGGAACCTACTTATGTGCTCAGACTTATAGAGAATGCGCGTGGTGTTAAAGGCAAATTCACACATCAATACCTATATCTTGCTTTCATCCTAGTTGTGTTGTCTTGTCGAGATCCGCTTAGCACCTTTTCAAGAACATACATAATGATAAACTCATGAAAATTGCAATAGTCATCTAGCATATATCTCTAGATAATATTCCAAGTATATAAATATAGTATTATATTCTTTCTCTCCTGTAATACAATCTGCATCCGGAAAACACCTCTTAAACTGGAGCCTACTATATAAAGCTTTGTGCCATCGGTCTAGATGTATCTTCAAATGAGAACAACTACCAATCACATCGCATTACATCATCGGGCACCAAATCCCGGCAGTTCGAAGCGCATACATCGGCAGAGCCGAGTTTCTTGCCCCCTAATGCTGCATACTCCGTAATGAATCGAAACTAGTCTAGACCTCTCAAGAATCCTTACACCCAATACATAGGTACTTAATCCTCCGTACTATAACAGCAGCCTTCCAATAATCCCCTTATCTTCCCATATACCATAAATCCCTGCATCTACGGACGTATACACGGAGTCCTCGCAGGTGAAAGGGAAACCTCCTCTTCTTAGTAAGGCTCGGTTCTCGGCATGTGCAAAGCCCTGATGCACGTCACGCCTGTCAAGCCATCTCCACGCAACTTCCCCTTTGGCATAATGTTAAGTAAGGACCGGGATGGGTTATAATACCTCCGTACGGCGCGTCAGCGTAGGTACTTCGTCACAGGCCAAACTGTTACGCCAAGAAGACCAGGGAAAGGGGGCCTTGCTTTGGTGCGTTTACCACCCTTCTTAACGCCCCTGCTATAGATTTCTTGGCGCAACAGTTTGGCCTGTAACGAAGTATTTTGACTTGTATGCGGGGTGGCGTTACTAAAGAGGCAGTAGGCAAACGGAGTAAACGGAGTGGTTCCTGGTTTGGATATATAGGCCTTTACGTCTGGGGAGGGATAAGTAGGTGAAGTAGGTTATATAGGTAGGTATTGATACCTGTCTTTTTGAAACCTGTATTTCTATCATAGTTATTCCGCTTTATCTTCTCTCATTCAAAGCCCAGCGTCCTTCATCCCTCTAGTTTTCGGTATCAGATCGGAAGATATAGTTCAGTTATACTATACCAGCTACCAATCAATCAATTACTATGCAATTCTCAACCCTCTTCCTCTCAGCAGCATCGCTGTTTCTGGCAGCAACAGCTTCTCCTACTGCGCTTATCGAGGTCCGTCCGGTTCCATTTCCATCTCTAATTCTGGTTCTACTTTTCCCCCTCCCTTTTCCCCTATTCATAAACATTCTCATCTCAACCCATTCCAACTCACGCACCACTTCACTAGAGACAATCAAGCCCAACCTCTGCCCCTGTCAACACCTCTCAGCTGCAAATCGGCGCGTGCCTCTCACTCGGACAATGCTACTTCGACGGCAATGAGGGAGGCTGTGCCGCGCGCGCGTGCGCGAATGACAATATGCTGGGGAGTATCTGTAGCTGTAATACAGACGTACAGAGTGTAATTGATGTGCAGAATGCCAAGGGAAGGAAGGAATGGCCAATCAAGTGTATGTGATGCTATTGTTCATTTCTTGCGGAAGTCCAAGCATGCTTGTTGGAGCAAACATATTGCTAACTCGTTGTTTGTCATCTAGGCCCGTTTCAACAGTAGTGCCACTGGAGAGAATGTGAAAAGCAGTGGGGGAATTGGAGGTTCTTACTCCTGAGCCTTGATGAAGACTTCTAAAGCCCCTCAATGATAATACAGTATTATTTTGTATAAATCCAAACTCCAAACACCTCGCTGTAGCCCAAATGATGTGATGCGGAAACACGTATTGCAAAAGCTCCCCAACTCATCGTATCGACACCACCATCCCTCCATCTCTCTGGAACCATTTATCACATCCCCTCATCTCAAGTAATGCAGCACAAGCCAGCAAAACCCAAAGAAAATCACCACCCCGGCCCAAAAAATCCATTTATCCTGCTTGGCCCTCCGCTCAATCATGCGAATCGTATCCCCGCTCACCCCCAGCGTATTTGCCACACTATAAAGCCTCTTCTGCGTCCCCTTCAAAATCTCCTTTTGCTGTCCCAAATCTCCCAACACAGCCTGGCCCCGCGCCAGGTACTCATCCAGCGCCGTATGTGTGTTTGCGAAAAAACTCTGTTCGCGCAACGCGTGCGTTTCTCGCGTGTAGTCCCCACTGTTCATGCCCAGGCTGCTGCCATTCGCATCTTTGGGCGCCCACGGATTGTGCGTACTGGGCGCGGAGGCGATCGCTGCGTCTGAGTAGGGGTTTTCGGGCGTGCTGGTGTGGTGTGGTCTTCGTCCTAGGAGTTCTTGCCTGTTTACGCTTGTTTGCACATCTTCTGTTTGTGCACGGAGCTCTTTTAATTGCTCGCGGAAGGATTGTAGTTCGGAGCGGAAGGACTCGATGCGCTCGAAGGCTTTTTCTTTTTTGGAGGGGTTGAGCTCGGATTTCGCGAGGTCCGCGTAGGAGTCTAGGGTGCGGGAGAAGGAGATGAGGGAGGCGGAGATTTGACCGAGGAGGGAGGCTGATAGTTGGGCCCCGGCTTGAGGGGAGAGATCGCGTTTAATGGAGGTGGATTGTTTGAGGGCGGTGTTGAAGAGGGTGTTCTGGGAAGGGGATTGGTTGATTAGAGGGGGCATTTGGAATAGGGAGGGATGGGCTTACCATTATGAATTGTAGTGTAGCTCAAAATGAGCTTCTGGTCCCAAATACTTGAAGTGAAGGCGTGTTTTTCCCAATATAACAAGTTGCGTGGTACATTAAAGTTGAGGGGGCAAATATTGAAGTTTCCTGGCTGTTTGTTGATGCTGCAAGTACAGTAAAAGTAAAACGTGTCACCTCGGCGCCTCACTGTGGCTTGACCGGGCCCGGGGTCCGGCTAGATTCCGGTGGATCCATCTGCCAGGGCCAGGACCCTGAAAAGGAGCAACAACTGCAGCTGGAGCTGAAGCTGGAGCTTGTGCGCAGGAAAGCTTGTTGCGTTGTAGACTTGCAAGGGCTTGACCTCCTGCTTGCTTTCTCTGCCGAATTAGACGCTTCAGAACAACTCGCCGGCGCGCTATAGAGATAGGGTACTGTATGTCATGACACACATGGTAAGCTTTCTAGGCCTTGGTTATGTTAAAGTGGCCGACGAACATGTGCTCCTGCTTTTACCATCCTACATTCATTTCTACCTACCTACCTCCCCTCTGTTGCTTTCTTGTCTTGTCTCCCGTCCTTATTTAGGTATCCAACACGAGGTGCAGCATTCTTTACTACCCAATTGGAGTTTCTACACCGCCCTCGCCGTCTTCACTTCCTTCTGATCTCCATATCCCTTGGCCGCGCTTGGGTGACAGATAATATCTTGGCCCAGCTACCCTACGAAATCCTGCCCAACGTCATCGTTTCTCGGACAGCGGGGTTGCTCTTTATCAGATCACCTTCGAAAGGTTCTCCAAGTCACTATAGCAGATACTCATTCAGTACTATACACCATCCGCAACTAGATAGCTGTACGCCTATATAATCTCCGACTCTCAAGTACAGGCACTTGCTGTGCGCTCGGATCGTTATCATATAAATTCTCCTGGATTCAACCCTGGTGATTCACCGCCTCTACTGGAGAAAGGTTCTGGCTCATACTTTGGGGAAAGGAATAACAATTGCTTCTTGACTAACAGGTACTTGGTGGATTCCACCTAACTTGCTCTGCGCTCATGAATAGCAGATTTTCCCGCCAAAATGCCGTCCCTATCTTCCACATACCTCATCCCTGCGCTCCTATGCAACCCTGCGTTCATTCTTCACCTCATCAATACTTTCGCTTCCCATTTCTTGCCTTCACCGCCAACCTTATCGCATTCTCCCCATCCGTTTATGGAGAACCTTGGACCAGTCCCCGGAACCACATTGTACATGGACGTGCACGACGATGAACAAATGTGTTGGAAATATACCGCCGTCATGGTTGTGGTGCAACTGTTTGCTTTTGGAAGGGTGTCGGAGAAGCGAGGCCAAAGAAAGGCAAGGCGGGCGGCAAGGCTCGAGAAAGAGCGATTGGAGAAATTGGAGAAATCGGAAAACGACCTTCGGCAAATTATGTCCCAAGGAGAAGGCATTGTAAAAAGCTGGGATGGCACTTGCGAATCCCCAGAAAATGGCGCATTGAAACTGGCGACTGAAAACGGACACGCAAATGATAAAGCTACAAATGGAGGAAAGAAATTTGAGACGGAGAGTGAAGCGAGCATGACAGAGACGAGTGAGGAGGAAATGTTATTCGTATGAGACCAGTCTGCGTTGCTTGTTATGACCGTCATGGAAATTTTGATTTGAGGACAACAGCATGGCGTTTGACAGGACACACGGCATTGGAGTTCACGGTCTGCGCGTACAAATAGGAGATATGATGATGGACAGAAGAATGGAATACATTTTCCATCTCTGGAACTGAACCTCGGAAGTGCTCGGAGGAGGTATGCAACCGCTGCTGACTAAAATTTCACATGATTTTTCATCTTACAGTACACTGGACTGGTAGTATATTTACCAGAACACTTGTGTCGAACATCTAAGCAAGGAACCACACATACAGTTTGAGAGTCCAAGCCTGATCTTCTCCATTAATGCTAGCGTTGCAACACATCAGCATTACGCTTACTCAGTACCTACTATTCATATTTCATCGTGTCGTGCTCCAAAAGGGACCTTTCAAACTTCTTCGCCGCTACGGCTTGAGTAGCTCCGAAGTGTCGTTTGAGTAAGCTATTCATATCATGGGTAGAAGATCTTAGTAAGATGTTATTTAGATAGCTAGGCTGTACGAGTAGTTCTCTTGCAGCTCAGTTTGGACTTGGGAATATCGAGCGAGTCTCAACTTTTAAAAATGAGATCTTTTGCGTTCCTAAGCTTGAGGAAAATGTCTCTGTCCGGTTGGGATTTCTGTCACGTTCAAAGCCTTTCCTGAACCTTTGTGGAAATATAGCGTCGGGTACAGGATTTGAAAGTTTGCAGCTTAATATAGCGGACAGGGCAGGTTCCACTGTTGGGAAATTCACTATTTATAGGGGTATTCTTCGTACCGAGTTAAGTTCTTCACATAGGGCTCAGCTGATGGGTGTCTGGCTGGGTAGCTTATGTATTTCCGCATACTTGGGGGATTGAGTTCAAATATTGGAGGAGCGTTGATTGATAGGTACTTCTTCTAATGAGATGGTCAAAGCTAGTGGAATAGGGAAATTTGGTGGTAGAAGAGGGACATGGGAGCCTGTTGTTGGATTGTCTGTTGCAAGAATTTGTAATGTACACTGCTGGCCTGTTCGAGGGATCTAGGACACTATCCATTGTCGTTTGAGATAATGATATGTAGCATGGTTTGATGGTTAGTAAAAGGTATTTATTGTGGAATCAGTAGTAGATCCTTTTACAGTAGGACCAAGGACGCATATTGTCAGCAGAACTAGACTTGTCTTTACGGATTGTTTGAAACTCCCTATATGTCTTGTCAAGATTGATGAGGCAGGCACCTTGAGAGCTAAGATGCCGCCGGAGTGGTTTCCTTTTATGGTTGAGACGATAACACCACCTTCCTCAAAGAAAACAATTCCACAAAGTAATGCAACAGCACAAATCATAAGTCAGAATGAAAGTTGATATCTGCAATTGAGATGGGTTACGACGTTCAGAATCTACTTCGTATAAACCCTAGCCGCCAATTTCGACTGGTCAGAAGACCCGCACCTGACCACGCGCGCAACAGTGGGGTTCGGGACCGGTCTAAGCACGTCGGCCACAACTTGAATCCCACAATCGCACAGTAATCACCCTCTAAACAGCCTGAACATCACTCTCGGAAACTGAGATATATGCTTGTCAGATAATCGTGACCCGGAGAGTACCTGGCAATTCGAAGAATACAACACGTCTGCCTTATGACGCGTGGCTAAACAGAACAGAGAGCGAGAGTAAGAGCGCAAGGATTACGAGTACCGAATCGCCAGATCGCGCATCCGCCACAATCTTCTCTTCCTCCATCACGGGTTCAAAGGTACTGAGTACATAGGTATATACACACCGATATTTCCCAATCTATACGGCTAGACGCGAAGAACTATCATCTGAAGGGCACGAGGCCATTGATCGTCCATAGTCCGTATCGTGATGGAACACCATGAGCTAGCCATTGCTGCTCTGGACTCGGTCGCACAGTCATCCTGGAACGGTCGCGACACGGTTAAACCCAGCAGTTCGCGGAACACGGGTATCGACAGACAGTCTACCATGGACCACAATACTATTGTTGACAACACCGTCAACGTGCAGGAACCATCGCAGCAATTCTCAGGAACCAGCATGGCAGTATCCGCGAGTGGGGAGAGAGCGGAAGATATAAACAACGCGACGTCAGCGCTGCCGTCGACCTCGAGCAACAATTCGCAATCGACTATTGATGTTCAAGACGCATCTACACCGCCAACCTCGATATCGGAAGGCTTCTCGTCGCAAAGTACGAATCAAGATTTGCCAATGTCTCAACTATCACAGCTCTCACAACTGGCTGCCGCGCAACAACCACTGACGAGCGCATCCGTGTCGCGACCGAATAATTCAATTGCTCCAACTCCGACTGCTGGCCTCAAGAGGACCGCCGATGGTCAACTGAAGCAAGCGCATGCTAATTCGCCGCCCAGCCCTCATGTTCGTGGGCATTCGAGAACTACTAGTGGAATAAGTAACGCATCTGCTTCGAGTAGCAGAATTGGAGAGGTAAGAGATACCCTTTATTCATCACTACACGTCATTGACATTGCGCAGATTTCATCTGAATTAAAAGTGCGTCTCTCTTATGCTATGGTCAAAGTCAACAATGGATGGCAGTCGAACTCTATTGACGAGGTCGAGTCCATGGCATCTCAAGCAGGATCTCCGACGTCTTCTACATCTACGTTACATGGCCGTCGTAACCTCATAACTTCCCCACGTGCAGCTATTGCCAATATCCAAGGACAAACTTCCTCTATATCTTCAAATTCAGGAACACCAGCACCTTCGGGAGATTTCGATCTATATTCAAGATCCGACCAACCGTCAAGAACATATGAATCTTTTTGGCGCGATCACTCAACAAACCTTCCCTCTCAACGCTATGCTCCACATACCTCTCCCCCGGCTCCTTTTCACAAATCTCTTGCTCCTCCGGCAGACATTCGACCTACATCACGACGATCCGGGACCCAGAAATTCAGCAGGCCCCCACTATACCTGGACAAGGCTCAAATTCCTCAATACATTCTCCCAACCCAAAAACGCCGAATCGCGGATCTCACAGAGAAAATCCAGCAATTCAAACACCTTTACAGAAAACCATTCAAGAGCAGGATGCAATCGAGACCCTGATGTTTATGAGTAGTCCGGGTAACTCTGGGAACATGAAACATAACTTCCCACCACCCCCACCAAGAAACAGGGACTCACCACTACAGAGCCCGTTACGCACAGAATTCAACACACAAGATAGGAGAAAACCCCATGGGAGAAAAGTAGGCTTCGAGATTGAGGCGACGAGTGGAAGTACTGGTAGCAGCGAAGCTGGTGGGGTCGAATATCGAAGTCGCACGAGCCGGATGAAGGCCCCGGACGCGCGGGGTAGAGAGGAAGCGATCGACCGGCTGCTGGAAGCATCAGAAGAATCTAGCAGCGATGAGGAGACGCTCGTGTTGAATTATTCGAGTCCGAGGCGGAAGACTATTGCTGCTGGGAGAATGTAGTCCGGTGGCAGTTTTTTCCTAGCTTCACGAGCACATTTAGACGACGAGTATGTGGCGTTAATCTTCAAGTTTAGTACCTTTCATGTGCTTTGGATACCATATCTTGCATACCTCCATTGTCTTCATCAAGAATCATATGAGACCAACGATCTCCTTTTCAGCATGCATATGGGATTGGCTGGTTGGGAGTTTGAGTTCATTTTTGACATTACATTGGGTTCAGTCAGTTGGTGCTTAACCATTCATTCTGGGCATATTAGGAGGATCTGGTCTAGGGACGGGTTGAGATCTTGAGGTATTTTTGATTGCATTCTGCATTTTGCATAGCTTGCGTACTTTGTACTTATTGAATGTGGCATACCTCTTAGATGCACATATGAATGAATTCACACATACATTTCGTTCCATCTCACCCCAACCTTCAACTGTCATCTTGGTGCAAACAAAGTCTCCGGAATCTGGATTATGATATACTTAATAATTTTTCGTTCATGGGTTCATGTAATATCCGTGCATCTCAACCCATGCCATAATGTCTATGCCATAGGTAAATTGGACTCTGGGTTCCATACATACATGCATATATCACCTCTCTTTCTTTATTACCCAAGTCAAATATCAAATCAAGTCACAGGATCCTCCCTCAGGTATTGTAAATCATTTATCCATCATGTAATGGTAATGGTAAAAACACGACACGGAACGAAAACTTACTAAAATACGAAAGTAGAACGAGGAGACTTCGGCTGATAATCCTGCTTCTTAGAAGATGAATCCTCGTGAGTCGATAATAATCGTCCGATGTTATAATTTAAAGAGTAGACGAATGTGTTCTGACTAACAGGTACAGTAGCCCCTGCTGTTCTTCCGGAAAAGGAGCTATCAAAGATTCCTGTACCTTTAAGCGCTTGTTATCGTTCAGAGAGCAATGAAGTGAGTATGACCTAGGTCATGATAGTGGGTATGTATGAGGGAAGCTTGAGCTGAGCATCGCATCTCTATTGATTGGTGCTGGTGGTGAGCTTAGTAAGAGCGTCGAACGTAAAGGAGAGCCGTTCGAGTACCGTTTAAATCAGGGGCTCAGGGGCTGAATACGGTGGGCGACTTAGCCCAAAGCGCTGCATTAGCGTCTCGGTGTTGATCGCTGGAAATTTTTTGTCGTCTCCTGTCACGATATGGTACGGTAGAGTACACGCGATCAATTCTTCACCACTGTTGTACCAATAATATACACCTTCCTTTGCAATTCATTGTACCCTTTTTAATTCATATTTTGGCGCTGTTTATTTTACGTTCCTACTTTAGATTTCCTTGTACAATACCCAAATATGCTTGTTCGAGCCGCAAGCCGGAAAGCCCGCCCTTCAGCAGCAAGAAGTCAATCCTCATTCGAACAGCTATACCTTCCGTGGTTATGCCCAGCCCAAAATCCGAGTCCGCTAGATCGACGGCGATGCTGGGCTACCTTCGATTCTACATCGCAAGGCCCTGCGGTAAGGAAAAGGAGGAATTCGAACGATATCCCTCATATACAACCACGACGGTCGATGGCCACTGTGCTCGGAAGCATGGCGATGGACGAGATCCCTTTCGAGAGCTTCGATTTACCTCCCCGGAGTTCCCACAATTTCGTGGGCCTGAGGTCAGGTTCGACAAGGACAGATCCTACATATCTTTTAGATTCGTATGAAGGTATCGAGACATCTCAACAGAGGATACGGACGACAGGCAAGGTGGGAGTTGGGGGTGAAATCTCGGAAATATTATCAGTGTTCTATGCTTGTCTTCAGGTGGGGAAGATTGAGCGTGCAGGTGTCATTCTTAGACGATTGATGGGAAAAGTCGACGCCAATGTGGATGAAGTGGTTATGTTACACAATCAATACCTGAGAGCTTCAGTCGAGCAAATCATGATATCACCCAGCGAGTCAGCGAGACAGTCAATTCACAAGTGGTTTGAACTCGAAATACGGCTCAAAGGATTTCTACACAACGCCGAAATGATTGCATATATGTTGAAAGCATCACTTCAATCGCCAGATGATGCACAAGGCGGGAATCGAAAGCGCCTTGTTCGCCGTTATATGGGTATGGTGGAGGGCGACGCTGGTTTGGAGGTGCTAAGCCTCAACATTCTTACTGCCGAAGAAATGAATCAAATCAATCACATCTGTCCGACCTACAACTTGGCCGACAATCTTGATCTTGAGGATACGTTCGAGGCCGACATCTATGAAGGTGACCATCCTATACAAGAACCACCCAAGGCGGTTGACATACTGCCAGATGTTCGCCCAGTGAAACAAAAGGGTCTTGGCTTGAAATCTCTCAAGAAATCTCTCTCGCTGTTCTCAAATTTCCCAGGTGCTGGTCTGGATATGTCTAAGAAGACCCTCGAAGAAAGACGGCAAGTCCAGGCTCAACTGGAAGAAGACGCCGTGAGCTCTGCAATTGAACGATGGAGAGATGAGAGTATTTCTCTCAAGAAGATGGGACTAGATTCTACCCTTCAAACAAAGTCGCTGGGAGCACGTATGTGGAAATGGCAGGTGGCTTTCGAACAATATCTGAAAGATGAGATCGCCAAGGTCGACGAAGCTGAACTGAAGGAGACGAAAACCGTGGAGGATTTGGAACGATGTCTATATGGACCCTTTCTGCGCATTCTCCCCCCAGAAAAAATCTCTGCCGTGACGATTTTGACAACCATGAGTACATTGGGTGCTCAAGGCGCGGATAAGGGACTGATGCTCTCTCACTCCATTCTGTCCATCGCCAGCAGTGTGGAAGATGAGAGCATATTTGAGGCATTACAACAAAGCAACAAAAGGGGAGTATGGTCGAAAAATTCACATCAAAAACTTGAACTAGATAATTTTAAGAAAATGGTGCGCAGTCGAGGGGCAGGCTCCGCGGCCAAATTAGTAGACACGGTAAAACTCAGCGATGAATCTACACCTTTCGTCTGGAAACAATGGCCCATGTCGATGAAAGCGAAAGTCGGAGCTTTCTTGATGCATGCTCTTGTCGAGGTAGCGAAGATTCCCGTCGCTTTAGAGCATGCGGAAACCAAGCAGATCATGACGCAGTTACAACCTGCCTTTTCTCACACATTTAAATTCAAAATGGGTAAAAAGTATGGTGTTGTAATCGCCAATAAAGTTCTTGTCCAGTCGTTGAAGAGGGAACCGGTCCACAGTCTATTGGCAAAACACCTCCCGATGTTAGTCGAGCCGGAACCATGGACTTTGTTCAACAAAGGCGGATTCCTTGTCCATCCGTCAAAACTGATACGAGTCAAGCTGGGCGATAAAGATCAAAGATACTACGCGGAAGCCGCAATTGGGCATGGAGATTTGACCCACTTGTGCAGAGGTCTGGATGTGCTTGGAAAGACGGAATGGAACATCAACCAGCCGGTATTCGAGATCATGCTAGAAGCCTGGAATAGTGGAGATGCTGTAGGAAATATTGCTCCTGAAACTCCGAATCTGGTTATACCACCGGAACCGGAGGCAACACGGGACCCTTTGGAGCGACGCCGATGGATAAGAGCAGTGAAAGGTGTAGAGAATCAGCGCACTGGTCTACACTCGGTGCGTTGTTTCCAGAATTTTCAGTTGGAAATTGCGCGAGCACTGAGAAATGAGTCGTTCTACTTCCCCCACAACATGGATTTTCGAGGACGAGCCTATCCAATTCCCCCGTACCTCAATCATATGGGAGCGGACCATTGCAGAGGTCTTCTCAAATTCGGGATAGGCAAGGAACTTGGCGTAGCTGGTCTCAAGTGGCTCAAAATACATCTTGCAAATGTCTTCGGATTCGATAAAGCAAGTCTCACGGAACGTGAAGAGTTTTCCAATAAACACAAAGACGACATATATGATTCTGCGACGAACCCTTTGAAAGGTACCCGATGGTGGCTCAAGGCCGAAGACCCATGGCAATGTCTCGCGGCATGTATTGAGCTCAAGAGTGCACTCGAATTACCCGATCCAACTCGATTCATATCGAAACTGCCAGTACATCAGGACGGCACCTGTAATGGGCTGCAACATTATGCAGCTCTGGGCGGAGATGTATGGGGTGCGAAGCAAGTCAATCTGGAACCAGGAGATCGTCCTGCGGATGTCTACACAGCAGTCGCGAACTTGGTAAAAGAAAGCATAGCCGAAGATAAAGAGAATAATGACCCCCACGCACTCATACTGGACGGCAAGATTACTCGCAAAACGGTCAAGCAAACTGTCATGACAAATGTCTATGGAGTCACTTGGGTTGGCGCAAGAGACCAGGTGAAGAAACAGCTTTTGGCTGCCCATCACAATCTGCCAAATGACACGGAGATCAATCCTCTAACTTTAGCATCATACATTGCACAAAAGATTTTCACCGCCCTCTCCACTATGTTCCGAGGTGCTCACGACATTCAGTATTGGTTCGGCGCGTGCGCAGGTAGGGTGTCAACGTGCCTCACACCGGAGCAAATTGATCGTGTTGAAGGAGAGTTACCAGCGATGGCTCTCAAAAAGGGCGTCAGCAAAACTGCCAATCGTGGTTTCAACCTGGAGGAAGCGCTTCAATTCAAATCCACCGTTATATGGACGACACCGCTCAATATGCCAGTTGTACAGCCATATCGAACAGCCAAATCTCGTTCAATTCCTACGACGATGCAGACAGTAGCTCTTCAAGAACCCCATCGTTCGCATGCAGTCAGCAAACGAAAACAGCTCCAGGCCTTCCCGCCAAACTTCATTCATTCTCTGGATGCGACACACATGCTGTTGTCAGCAACAAAATGTGATGACCTTGGCCTGACATTCGCAGCGGTACATGATTCATTTTGGACCCACGCTTCAGATATTGGCACAATGAATGGTGTACTTCGAGATGCTTTTATCAAAATCCACACTGATGATGTCATTGGACGCTTGGCTGCCGAGTTCAACGCCAGGTATAAAGGTTGCGTCTACCTTACCAATCTTGATCCGAAATCTGCAGCAGCCAAGGAGATAGTACGATGGCGCAAACAAAAAGTCATCAATACAAAATTACCCCAAGTCAAAAAGGCGCCAAGACTCGATGAGCTACTTTTAGAACGCAAACGAATGAGGCTCCTCGAATCATCTGATCCTTTAGAGGTCGAAGAAGGAAAGAACATGGTTACTCCCGGAAGCATATTTGAAAAATACTCGACTCAAGACGACATAGCACAGGATGAGGAGTTGAAGGATATAGGACTAGGAGAGATCCCAGAAAGTGAACTCAGAGCGGCCAGGAAGGCTTCCAAGACGGCCACCACTGGCTCGAATGCTTCTGCGAATGAGGATATTGATATGGTAAACCTTGAATTGGACGATGGTTTAAGCGACGATGTTGAAGTTGATGCTGCCAGCCCTGATATGGATGCTGCATCGGCTGAGGATGATGGTGACGAGGGTGGGGAAGTGAGCGAAGAATCTGAGGAATCAGAAGATAGCATAGGGTCATTTGAAAAGCGACTCAACAGAAGAGAATCTCGGAGTCCAAAATTCCCTGTCTGGCTTCCCCTGACTTTCCCTCCGGTGCCCAAAAAGGTATGTTCTCTCCCCTTCAATACTCGCATCTCCTGGATATTAATCGTTGTGCTACAGGGAGAATTCGATGTTTCGCGACTCAAGGAAAGTCAATACTTCTTCTCGTGAAAATATCTTGTACCATACATACAATTACGGCTCTCGGAGCCGTGTTCCGTGCAGCGGAAGAGTTGGTGGGCTGGGGTGAGGGATGTTTCTGTGACACTGCATATAGCGAAGGGACACGTGCATTTTCAGGGGCGTTGGGGTTTTCATCTTGCTTCTCTCTGTTTACCTAGTCGTAAGTAATTAGAGTCTGGGGGTCGGTTAGGCTGTAGAATAGAATAGAGCAGTACGCATGCATGCGTTACGAGAGAATAGCTGGTTATGTACAGTATACATCACATTGATGGGACGATGCAAAAAATGTAGACGGATATGGATATCGTTATTTATATATGCAGCGTTCTCTATCTAGCTTTAAAAAATGTACTACCAAGTTATATTCATTGCCAGCTACCTCCCTCCGGCCGAGTATAAAACATAGGCAAGATACCTATACACCTCGTAGTACTCGCAAAGATTCATGGTATGACTCATGAGGTTCCTCGAGCGGGTTTGCGGGTGATGGATGGATGGTATAGGGAGAGTGGATTAACACGATATGATCAGAGACGCCATCTCAACTTATATGCTTGGGAATCTCTTTTCACATTCTGGATTTATGATAAGTACTATACAACGCACGCGGCTGCCTCAATGATACCCATTAGCACCATTAACGTTCATCAAACTAGTCAGCTCCTCCCTCCTCGCCCGATACAGATCCTGCGCCTCTCTCTCCCTCTTACTCACAAACCCAACCTCTTCCCTCAGGCCTTCCAAACGCCGCTTGATCGCAGCTTCCTCGCTAATCTGCAGCGTTCTGAAGCTGTCTAAGCTATACGTAGCCTTACTCAGAGCATCTGCAGCCTCTACGATCTTGCCTCGTAGTACTTTCGCTCTCTGCTGGTATCCGCCCAAGTGCAAAGCTAGTTTCTTCTCGGCTTTATTACCCGCGGTTGCAGTTTCAGTGATGGAGCTTTGTATGTCTTCGAAAGCTTCGCTGAGTATTTGCTGCTCGTCGGTTTCGTCGTCGTCGTAGCCACTGAGGCCTGGCAGGAGAGATGAAGATTGGGCCTGGGCCCAGGCTGCTCTGAAGATATCAGAGCCTTGTTCGGCCAGTTCTTGGGGTACTTCTTTGGTGATTTGCAGGCGGGCTTGGGCGAGGACATCATCATCGAAGGAGTCGAGGGTTTTGGGCGTGCCTCGGACTTTTGCGCCTGGGATGGGATATCTGTGGGCGTCGTTGGCTACTAGGAGTGCTGCTTCTCGCTCAATGGCTCCGAGTACCGGATCTGCTATATCTGATGCACTTTTGATAATGGCATCAATATCGACAGCCGAAGCTCGTGGGAGACCCTTTTGCATGACTTGAGTTCTCCTATTGAACTCAATCTTTTCTTGCGCTTCTCGGATTTGACGGTTCCTCCGGTCTCGAATCTCAGCATCCTCTTCTGAAAGTTCTTCCACAGCCATAGATTCTTGTTGTTCTTCTGGTAGCTCCAAATCCCACTCCGTTTCCTTCGGTTTTGGTAGTGAGGCAAGACCCTGCTTGACTCTGTGTTTCATTGCCATTTCTGCCAATTTGACGTCTCTAGGTGTACTGCCAACAAGCTGCATCTCTCCATTTGCGTTCAATGCAAAGCTATCACGTGGCGTGCGCATTGGGGTTGCACCTGGTAACGCTGGAGGGCCCATTGGGGTAGCACCCACTCCATTAGTTTGTCGGAAAGGAGTTGCCATAGGATTAGGAGTTTCCATCTGATGCTTTCTTGGTGTTACACTATCAAAACCCGTGCTGCCAACTCCCTCGTGTAAAGGGGTATTTTCACCCCCCAAAAGTGATGATTGGGTCTCTGTGAGAGCCCTGATATTCCGGATTTCGTTCGCGATATGATCTTCCTGCGCTGGGGCTTTCGGTGTTCGAATAGGTGCGCCACTGTTGATAGTTGAGTATGTGTTGACAAGACCCCTCGTCGCATCATTCTCGCTGGATCTTGCCATGATGTTGGCTCTTTCCCCAATCATTCCCATCTTGACGATTTCTTCCAATTCGCTCTCCCCGACTTGTGGTGTTGGCAGAACCAGAGCTCTCCTCTTGCTGCTCTGCTCAGCCTCCCGAATCTTCTGCATCTGGCCCGCTTTGATAGCTGCAGTGTAAGACGCTGACGGAGCCTCCTTCTCCCCCTTTCTCTTCTTTCGATCTGGGTCTTCGTCATGGTCTCCTTTTCGCTTGTTCGCAAGTTGTTGCTTCCGAGGATCAAATGCCTCGCGCTCCCTTTCGTTAAGACCTGCTTCCTCCTCCGTATCGTAGAAACCTGGGGCGGCGCCCTTCTCAAAAGGAATATCGGCATTGTAGTCCATCTGGCCCTTCTTCCGGTTGACCACCTTGATGTTAATACCGGCATTCTTAAGCTCACGGCGCTTCTGCAGAACAGCCAATCTTCTAGACTCCTCAAGCTGACGCTCACGAGCCTTCCGCTTCGCCTTCTTTCCCTGTGTATTTGCTAAACGAGCACGAGCCTCACTCAGCATCTCCTTCTCGTCCTCATCCAGGTCGATTGTATCAGGACGCGCAGGTTTCGATTCCGGATCTGGGTCAACCTCTCCAGGTCGTAACCGTCGCACATCATCCGCACTCGGGGCCTTTGTTTCCCCACCATCCGGCCCCCCCAAGCCCAGATCTCCCGCTTCCTTCTGCTCGGCTTCGTCAAGCAGCTTCTGGTATCGTTCTAAGCACTGGGTAGCAGTCCTACCAACGAGCGGGGCGATAGTGCGCCATTGCGTGGGCATCAACTTTGCGAGATGTAGTAGCTTCTCGTCCTCTTCCTTGCTCCATTCGATCTTTCGAATACCAGGGTCGAGCCATTCACTCCATCGCGCCTTGCATTGCTTTGGTGTTTTTCGCGCGAGAAGAGATGATACGCGTGCCCACTGGTTTAGACCATATTTTGAGACCGAGGCCTTTAGGATCTCATCCTCAATATTTGTCCACACACCTCCTTTGACGACAGGCATGGTTGCGATGGTTTTGTTGTTGATGCTGTAAGCTTGATGTTTTCAAAAATACAAGCTTGTCTCAAGTCACGAAAACAATTAGGTTTAGCGGCCGCATTTCAAGCACGTGTTAGATCACATGACTTAATAGCTTCCAGTGTATATTTTATATCTTTCAGAACATTCACGTGATTATCATTCTGGCTTACAAGTCACCAGAGACCATCAACTGCATTTTCAGGTTGTGCTATCATTATAATATTGTGGAGTTCATTGCATTATCTATCCTGTGTATGTTCATCTGCTCGTCCCTTTCGCAAGCAATCCTGGTCATTCATCTACAACTCCAGCCTCTCTGAAGTAAATTTCCGTCATCTAGTCATTATTTCGTGTATCCTTCATCTCTTCTCGCATCAATTGTCATAACGGTCCCAGCCAGAATCCCCGCCCCTATAATCCCACCATCATGACAAGGCGTTAATAACACCCTTGGGACTTTTGTTTTCGAAGCGCCGAACTCCGCGTTCATGATATCGTCAAGGAACTGCTGGCAATCCTGTAAATAATCTTGGAAATGCATAATGCATCCACCGGTATATCCAACCATCAGTTCTTCGACGGCTGGTTCCTCGATAAGAGTATGAAAGGATTGTCCATTAGCGAAGGAGGTTGACGGTGACGGCAGAGCTGAGAGCTGTATCTCATCCGCGCAACCTAATAATGCAATGACAGCCGCAGCTGTCATGCCCGCTGCGCGTTTCTGGATCGCTTTGCTAATCTTGAAAACCATGTCTGCAGTTTCGTATGTCCAGTGCCATGCATCCGGTCCATTAGCAGGGGGCAATTCGGTTTCTATTTGTTTGAGAATTGATGGTTCTCTGTAACTTAGGTGAGGACCAAGATTTCCGAAGAATGTGGTCGTAAGCCCGTGACGTTGACGAAGTTTCGTCGGGAGGGATGTGAGGGGTACTTGGAGTTGGTTCACAAAATAATCGAGGACCATGAGACGACCCAATTCTCCAAGGTATCGGCCGGAGGTCATATACTCGAAGGGTTGGAAACCAGGAGCTTCGCCTTCTGCATCAAGAGTTGTATCCCAGGGGGTAACGAACTTGAGCTCGTGAAGAGGAGGCGCTGCACCGTTTATCGTCCATTCGGTATTCACAGTGATCTTCAGATTCGGACAGTCCTCGCTGTCGTCAGGTACTTTGATTTGTGCTGGTCTCTTGCTTGGGTGTAATTTGCTAATTGCGAGTGGAATCGTAGCGTTACAGCCCGTTCCAACAATGAGACCCATAGCTGCTTTCCGCTTTGGGTCGCTTCGTAGCTGGTAAGCAAAGGAGACGAGGGTTGCGACTGAGTCGTTTACTATTGCAGTGATTTTGATGGGTGGTAAAGAGGGATCTCGCGTCGATTCATAGCCTTCCAGGAGAAGCTTGCCTAAATCCAGATTTGAGGTTATAGCGAAGCCTTTACCCATCGACATGAGTGTAGCTTCTGATAAAGTATGTTGTCTATGAAGAATCAGTATATTTCAAGAATTTCAGGAAGGGAAGCCCACATCATGGGGAACGAGAAGGTAACTCCGAGTGGAAGTGCTTCTCGCTTTTCTGGACCCCATTCCTGAGTCCCATCTTGCACAACGTCTGCTATACACTTTCCAATCCATTGGAATAGATCTTCTGCTTTGTTGTTCTTGAGTTGCTCTCCAATAGGCCAAGCTTTCTCCAGATATATCTTGACACGTGACCCGTATTGATAGTCACCATTGCCATTTGAGTTTCCTTTCACTTCTGCTTGCACTTCATTGTTGGAGCCTAAAAGCTCTATGAAGCCAACTCTGAGATTGGTGCCTCCTCTGGAAAATGTTAGGCGGCTCAATGGCTAAAAGCGGGCAAACATTACTCACATATCGATAGCGAGATATCTATTGGCTCTGTTAGAAAGAGAACATGCACTCTAGCCAGCCATTCAAGAAAAGTGGCTTCTGGAACGAATAAAAAGGAAGGGGTATGTATAGCTTACCGGCCTTCCCCATCATTTTCCGGCCTCAAAACTGTATCCGAAATAGGAGTTGAGAGAAACTGATTCTGTGATTCTCTAGCAAGTTGTGTAAAGGTGTGACATAGACTCTTCGCAAGGCTATGAACCTTGGAAACATCGACAGCGAGGGGAGCCAGGAATTCATCCAGAGACTGTCTTGCAATAGACATTTTCAGAAAGAGAGGCAGGTAATTTGTGCATAACCGTTGGAGGACAGACAGACAACCTTGGGTGACTTGGTTGGGAGTTGTCTAATCGCGTTCGCGTTGCTCAGCCTCGAATGGAATAAGCAACAAGGCTTGCTTTAGCTTATCGTAGCCTAGCGGGAGAGAGGGGAGACTGTACTGTGGCACACTGTGCATAGAAAGAGTGGATGGGTTTTGACTGTAAGGCATAAGGCAGAAAAGAATGCGGAGCGGGAAAGTGGCAGCGGAAAATGAGCGCGTGAGCTTCGCTTTATCTTGCATGTGCAAACGAGTCAACTCAACCTTGCTACAATCACAATCATAATTACAATCACAAGAGCAATCAACATGAGTTTCCCCGCAGATATAAAAAGATCCAATATAGACCTCCGGAATGAGCAACACGAGCAGCTCTTCCCCGATACACCAGCTCCAGCGCCCCGAAATCATCGAACGGCCTGGATCTCCGGATTCCTCTCCATCTTCGCCCTCTACCTTCTGCTCTCTCTCCACCCCAATACTCCAGTACCGTACCGGCCATGTGGGAATCATCGTGTGCCTGCACGCATTAAGGATGTGGCAACGGTTAAACCTCTTGTCCCTCTAGAAGCTCATATTATGAGCAAATGCCCAGATGCGAAGGTGGGTTGCATGATAGGTTTACTATATTTATAACTGCTGATTATTCTCTCAGGATTGCCTCCAGCAGCTTATCCTTCCTGCAATGATGCAAATAGTTGACAAAGTTAACTTTACGCTCTCATATATTGGAACGTATGTTCGCCCTCTTCAGTTGACTCTCCCTCCACTATATCCGACTGACAGGACATCCCTAGACCAACCGCAAACGACGGCGTAGAGTGCCTCCATGGCCCCGAAGAATGCCTAGGCAACATAATCGAACTCTGCGCCAACTCTCTCTACCCCGACCCAAAAATATACCTGGGCTTCACAATGTGCCTAACAAAGGACTACCATGACATCCCCCAAAAATCGCTCCTCGAAGACTGTGCCTTGGAACATGGCATCGATTTCGAGGAATTAAACGAATGCGCGACGCGCGACGATGGAGGCTTCGGTATGGGAATGCTACGGGATAGCGTCCGTCGTAGCACAGATGCCGGAGTAACAAAATCTTGCACCGTGAGGTTGGACGAGAAGATATACTGCGTTCGAGATGGTGGGCAATGGAAAGACTGTCCAAACGGCTCAGGGGTAAATGATCTCGTCATTGCAGTTCAGAAACTGTACGACTCGCCTTCTTAAGAGGTTCAAAAATACCAGTCCACAACTCGCTCGCTTCTCCCACCGTATAGCACATATCCAGACTCTCCATCCCCGCGTCCTCACCCCCCTCCATAGCCTCCAGCGTCGCAATGATACTCTCTAGCCCTATCGCTTTGCCTATTGCTTGTGAGGCGCCCGCTTCGAACGCTACATGTACGATGTGGATGTGGAAATGATAGTACGTCGGCTGGTAATGTACATACAGCTTCAACTGATCCTCCTCGACCCCCACCCCACCATAACACCCCACCGCAGCATCCACCAACCTCCCCCGCATCAGCCTCAACCACCCCACATGCCTCTTCCTCAAATCCCTCAAGCTCCACAGATCCCTCCTCTCCACCAGTCCCAGCAAATGCAAACTATTCATCGTCTTGCGATCCCAGTTCAGGTCCGGTAGTAATAAGAAACCCTCGTCGTTGGGCGTGTCTTGCAATGGGGTCCGGAATATCACATCCTCGACTTCGGTTTTCCCTTCTATGATATTATACACCCAATTCAAGCGCCCCCCCTGGCGCTTCCCATCCATATACGGCCTCACCCTCTCCCAATATACCTGTGCTGTCTCCGTAACCATCCGTACGCCCTGCGGCGAGTATTTCGCGACGTGCTGTGCAGTACATGGGTATATCAAGTTGATTTTCAAATCTGATAGTTCCCCGACATTTGCAGATGGCGATGGGAGAGGGGAGGGGGAGGAGGCGAGGTACCAGAAATAGACGTCGTTTGCGCCGAGGTTACGGAGGGTGCTGAGGGTGTGCGGGAGGCTGCTTAGGTAGGAGGTGCTGGTGGGGAAGGGAGCGCGTTCGAGGATGAGGAGCGCGGGGTGCGTATAGAGTGTGCCATGGAGGATTATCCGGCGGCCTGCTTGGTCTGCAGTTGCGTTGTGTTAATTCGTGTTATGGGAGAGGATGAGAAAATATATGGATGTACCTTGGTTTAGGATGCGTTCGAATTTGAAGGCTGGAATGAGGGAGTGAGGGTCGGGAGGGCTTGTTTCGTCGCCCATTTTCTTTGCTTGGAATTTAATCCGAGAGGTATTTGGAGATCGGATAGGTTGGCTTGCTGGGAAAATAATGGCTGTGGTGCGATTGATTGAGGGGAGATTTTGGAAAGACAGAAAAGTAGCTTCAGCCTTCTGGCTAGGCGGTGAAAAGAAGCTAAATGCGGGGTTATGTCTTGCATGTGGGGGTTGTGTCACATGTTCTCAGCTGTTAGAGAAATGTAGAATTATACAATGTACAAGAAATGATATTGGGTTTTGAGGTCGTATCTAATTCTTTTTATTAAATTATCGTCCTTCAGTTAAGGGACACCAAAGGATATATATTTTCCAATACCACGCTTTTGTAACCAACGCTATGCTATGCTATGCTAATGCAACCCAACCCCAAACCAGTGATGCAGTAAATCCAACCCTTTTCAACTTTCATCGTCTTATTAACCCGCCGCAAACGTTGACTTCTTCCTAAGCTTCTCGCCATATAACCACAGCAAGATAGGAGCCGGCCATCCAAGCCCAATCGCTATAAAGGCGAGCAAGCTATTGCCCCAACCATAGTGAAGAGATTTATACATATAAGGCGCAAAGAGAGGGAAGCCAAACCCAGCCAAACTTCGCAACACAGTTGCGGCCCCAACTGCAGAGGCAGCGTATCGCGTGTACGAATCCACGATATACGTCTGGATGCACTGGAAACCAGTGATGACTCCAGCTGCAAAGACAGCCGCTCCGATGTTGGGAACAATCCAATGCGTATGAGCTTGTGCGCTCCATCCGTACCAGAAGAGCCCAATCGGAACAAGTAGCGCGCCAGGAATCATCAGGGGGACGCGAAACTCCGGCTTTCCCACACCATTGTTCCGCTTCTTGAGCGCGCGGTATATTCTATCTTGCAATGGGGCGCAGACTTGAGTTCCAATGAAGAATCCCACACCAAGGGAGATGTAGTTGAGACCGCCGATACCGACACTTTCGTGGTATTCGTCTTCCCATAGCCCTGGAAATGTCGAAAGAACCAGGTACATAAGCCCATAGAGATAGGCCATGTAGAGCGCAAGAACTTGAACAATGATCTGTGTTCCGAGGAGTTTGAATGGACGACTAAAGGAGATTGAAAGGGCTTTCATGACTGTGCGGTCTGGATTGTCGTACTCGGTGTGTAATGCTTCGTTGCCAGTTTCTTTGATAAGCGCCTTCTTTTTGCGGTCCAAAAGAACAGGTGGGTATGTTTCTTGGAGGAAGAATAATCCCACGACCTGAATAACACCATCCGCTATTGTAGTTGCGTAAAACACCCACCTCCAGGTAGTATTCTCCGTGATGAAACCACCTGCAATTGGTCCAACAGCTGGACCTAGCAATGGGGCTAAGCTGTCTCTATTTAGCATGACTGGAGCTGGATCTGGGTCTTGCGGGGCTTACCTATAGATACTGACTGCTTTCCCACGCTGGTCTGCCGTGAAGAGGTCACTTAAGACTCCCCCACCAATCGCCAAAGGAGCACTTCCACCTAACCCAGCCAAAAAACGGAAAGCAATTTCTTGCCCCTTCGTCTGCGCAAGCCCACATCCAAGATTAAAGAATAAATATAACAGATTGGCACCTTGCAAAACGATAGTCCTCCCATACATCTCTGACAGGGGGCCGAGGAATAATGGTCCTATGGCGTAAGCCAAGACGAAAATTGATAATACCAAGGACTGTTCAACTTCATTTGTAATATTGAACTCCCGTGAAATAGCTCCCAGCGCGGGGGCCACCATCGAGGACGAGACTGGGGAGATGAAGGTGAAAGACGAGACAACTAGGGTAGCCGCCCATTTGCGTCGAATTGACCAGTTCTTGGGATTTTTGGGATCATCAGGGCCATCCCAACCAACCAGATTCGAATCTCTTAGACTCCTCCGACTCCTTGAGGATTTGGATTTCTGTAAATTGGGCCGTGCTTCAATATCTCTCTGGTCTTCAATTCCATCTCGTACTTCTGGCTCAATATCCGTACTTGATTCTGGGTTAAGACCTCCCGCAGCCTCGTCCTCGTCCTTCTCATCGGCTACATCGGTATCGTCGGTACTTGCTTCATCGGCCCGGTCATGATTATGATCGTGGTACCCGTGGCCGTGTTGCGCCGCGTGGTCATCGAGGTGGGTTCTGGAAACAAGCCGAGCGAGACCCGGCGGATGACCACTGGATGTGGTGCCGAACGTATTATACCTCGTCAGCTGTGATGGTTCTTCGGAATCGGCCATGATTGATTGGATCGTCTAACCAATGCCACGCCACTTCGAGATGACTTATTGCTTTGCTAGCAGCTTGGCCCTTTACCCACTTGCAAGTTGGAGAGGAGAGGGCAAGTGAAGTCTTTATAAAAACGTACAAGGAAGATTCATACCTACGTATCAAGCACTAAAGGAGGCGGGCGGGGGATGCGAATCAATGGAGATTACGGGTTTACGGGGTGAGCCTAGAAACTACAGATGCCGACTACCGGTCATCCAGTCAGAGATGTTGTTTTACGCGAACACTCGTAAATATTATAATCTGCCCTGTTTACCCAGTCTCACCAGTACGTTCTCTCCAATTGCTGAGGGGAAGTCTTACTACATAACGTGCCGATTAGCCGTGGCCGAACCACCTAACCTAATACGGTAATCCCGGCAGACGGGGACACGGCGATCGGACTTAACGACAGCAGCCAAATTCGGTGCCGAGTCCTTATATGTACTGTTGTATAGTGAGCGAGCCAGTAAAAGAAACAATCCACAGTAAGTAATTGAGTTTTAAGAGACAAGAATCACTCTTTCGATATCTTTGTTGACCAGGTTGACTGGACACATGTTGCTAATAGCTCGTTTCTCTTTCTGGGCTTGCTACAAAGGCATGTAATATATACTCATCTTGAAACTCATACGTGAGCTGGGAATGCCTTGCCTCTTGGATACTTTCGAGAAAAGCTTTGAACCCTTTGATATAAGGCGGAGCTCCTGGCTTGCTTGAGAGTTACTAGACCATACAAAAGACTATAGGAACCAGAAAAAGAAGAAGAATATGGTTTGAAGTACAAGAGTTGAAGGAAAGACTGGTTCGTAAGTAGTCGTCTTGACTTTCTTAGCGTCGTTGATGGAGGGGTAGAAAGCAAATATATTCGGGGGCTTAAATCTCCAAAGGGTATTTTGAATAGAATCTTGAGAATAGGAAATATAGGTGGAGAGAGTAAGGACCATTAACTTATAAATAAATACAGGAACACCCAGGTCAACATTGAAGCCTTCGAGCAGTTATTGCTTATCAGTACCTAGGGTGGCGAGGGTAGGAAGTTCGACCTAAGTTCTAGATTACCATGCAGCTGGCGTGCGCTCCAATCATCAGTACCCATTAGAAAGCCAGGCCTTTTAGAATCCTTATCAGTACCACCAGAAGGGGATTTGTATTTGTTTTCCAATGGATGAGATCATTAATTATCCAGATTCGTATCCGCAATCTGTAGGTCTTACCTTTTGTCAGCTTTCCTCCACATCTAGGTGGAGATAATCTTTAAAGTTCTACCCGTTCTTCAGATCTCCAGAAAGATTTACGAGCGGCATATATTTCGTACGTCCCATAATCTCCAATAATAATAACGCGCGAAACCCCACGATACCACAAAGCCGAACGCGAAGAATTAGGAGCGGGGCCCTGATGAACCTGGCCAGAGCTTCAAAGCCGCAAGATCCTGAACTCATCCCGCATCACTGTGCCCCGCCATATGGCAGACACCAAAGATGCGGAGCAGATACACATGCAAGGGGGAGATGTTGACGGGGAGTGGGGTTCGGATATGAACAATGGCAGCGGATCACCGGCGAGGAAGAAATCAAGGAGCAGCAGAGAGGCAGCCGTAATCAAGAGACGATGTGTTAGCACTGCTTGCATTGCGTGTAGGAGGAGGAAGTCGAAATGCGATGGAAACACGCCGAGTTGTGCTGCCTGCTCCAGTGTCTATAGAACTGGTGAGTCTTGATTGCCTGCGATTCCACTTGCACAATATGACTCAAGCTAATGTCTGTCTTCTCAGAATGCGTGTACGACCCAAATAGCGACCATAGACGGAAAGGCGTATACAAGGAAAAGATCGACAGCTTGAAGACTCGGAACTCGACGCTGCAGACGCTGGTCCAAGCAATATTGAATGCGGTTGAGGATGACGTTCCGGCTCTCATAAAGCAGATCCGTACATGTGAAAGCCTGGACGATGTTGCGGATAACATAATACGGCAGGAACAAGGTCTCGAAGAAGAAGAGGGAGGGTTTGATGATAACCCTGCATATACGACTGCAAATCTTCCGACCTTCGAGACCGAACTGTCTGGGAAAATGGGAGAGTTGAGGCTTGAAAATGGATCCGTACGATTCCTCGGTGGGACATCAAATTTGATATATCTAGACCCAACGAACGATGAAGAATTTACTGGATCGGACGTCTACCAGCAACAGGAAGATCCGTTGACAAGTTGGACCAAAGTGACTATGGATACAGAAGTCATTGTACACTTAATTAACATGTATTTCACCTGGCATTATCCTTACTTTACGACATTATCAAAAAGTCTTTTTTATAGAGATTTCCTCCTAGGGAAGCCAGTTGGACCTCCTAAGCGGACGGCATACTGTTCAAGCCTTCTGGTCAATGCCATGCTGGCTCTAGGATGTCATTTTACCAATTCGCCGAAAGGTTGCGCTGATCCAAACGATCCAACGTCGAAAGGCGATGCGTTCTTCGCTGAGGCAAAGAGACTTATTGTTGAGAATGATGAATATGAAAAGCCCAGACTAACCACTATCCAAGCTCTGTGTCTGATGTCTGTTCGAGAGGCTGGATGTGGTCGGGAAGCCAAAGGGTGGGTCTACAGTGGGATGGGTTTCCGAATGGCCCAGGATATGGGCTTGAATTTGGATTCCGGTGGAATGACAAACAACAAAGAGACTATGGACGAGGGAGAAATCGACGCGCGAAGAATTACCTTCTGGGGCTGCTTCTTGTTCGATAAATGCTGGTCTAACTACCTGGGACGACTACCTCAATTACCCGTGTCAAATATTACAGTGCCAAAGTATGATGTTTTTCCCGACGAGGACTCCGATACTTGGTCGCCTTACACAGATAATGGCGTAGGACAGCTACATTCTCAGGCTTCACGGACAAGAGCTGTGGCGCTTCAAATTTCAGCACTCTGCGAAATTAGTAGTGATTTACTGATCTTCTTTTACCATCCCCAACATCTTGAGAAATCTGTAGGGAGGTCTCAGGAGCTGAAGAAACTTAGCGAATTGCAAACGCGACTTGAAGCATGGCGAAGAGAGCTACCAAAAGAGCTCGAACCGAAGGACGGACAGTTACCCAATGTTCTCCTTATGCAGTATGTCCAAAATCCACCTAACAAAACTCCGTACACTAATACACTTGTAGCATGTTCTTTCATCTTTTATACATCCATCTGTTCCGTCCTTTCCTCAAGTATAATCCATCAAACTCGCCACTTCCGTCTCATGTATCACCTCGAAAGTTATGCACTCAAGCTGCAGCTTCAGTGTCGAAGCTTATGCGCCTATATAAACGAACATATGGTCTTCGCCAAATTTGCAACATTGCAGTCTACATTGTGCATTCAGCATGCACTATTCACCTTCTCAATCTGCCTGAGAAAACCGCGAAGAGAGATATCATCCATGGAGTCAAGCACCTCGAGGAGATTGCAGAAGACTGGTTGTGTGCTCGTCGGACTTTGAGTATCCTCAGTGTCTTGGCTAGGAAATGGAAAATCGACTTGCCAGCAGAAGCTGCCCAAGTCTTTACTCGGGCAGATGCTAAATACGGCTTCTTTAGCACGTCAGATGTTCCCTCGCCCAAGCAGGAGCTAATAGTCACCACACCACCACCAACGCTTACCTCACCTCTTCACATTCCTCAAATACAGGCCATAAATCCACCTAAACCTATCCGCAATCATAGCCAGTTACAACAGAGTCTCTACAGCTACCTGCCAGACTCGCAATCCTTTCCTCCTATGAATGGTACGAGCAAGCCAGCCTCGAACGTACAGAATACAATGAATCCCTCAGCTACAAACCGGGAAGCAACATCCAACAATTTGGGATCCATGAGTATGACTACCGACTCCGTTATACCCTCTCTCCCATATACACGTAACACATCATTCAACACGCAATCAACTCCGACGCCCACCTCCCACTCAATACTATCACCCAACAGCGACCTTCCACGTACCGAGTCCACAGTAGACTCAGCTAGACAACTGAGCCCAAACACCATCTTCGGGGGCGTAGACGCACTCGTTGACAGTGGGGACTGGTGGCTTCGAGACCAGGCTAGTCTAGCGGTTGGGTTCGATAATTGGATGGGAATGGGCAATTCTGAGGATATGGGTACTGGCACTGGCACTGGCACTGGGAATGGGAATGGGAATGGGAATGGGAATGGGAATGGGAATGGGAATGGGAATGGGAATGGAAATGCGACGTCGTCGCCGGACCTTTCTAGTTTGGTGGGAGTTGGGCCTAGTTACTATCTCCCTCCGACTAGTGGGCGTAATGATGATTTTGGCGGGGATGATGATTGGAATTACACGTAAGGATTTTGGGGTTTTGGATGGAGGGAGGTTGGACTTGGCGGTTTCGGAAAAATAGGGCGACGGCGATGCGATCATGATTGATGTTAAACATATGAAGCGATGGAGTTGAGATGTCTGGGGTGAGGATATACACGGGACTTATGATGTAAAATACGAGTGCTAGTCTATATCAATCGGTATTTATTGTCCCCGCGTCATACAAGCTGTATACAAGGGTAACCATATCCAGTTGCACTTACTATCTTCCGATTGTAAAGATCATAGTCTATAATTTGACTTTGATTTCAATAATCAAGCATAGACTTCAGTTCACAGTTAAGAAGATTTCACAGTTCCAGGAAGATAGGTACCGTACCATACGAAACTATAAAGTCAATATTCGAGCGCCACCCCCATTTTACAATTCATTACACGGACCTTTCTTTACCGTACGCCACGCTCTGAGTCTAAAAGCAGAAGGTGGCCGGTCCTCCCTCCCCTTGTCTATAAAGATTAGGTTAGCGCTCCTTATCCCACGCCATACCTACAGGGGTACCTCCCTCCGTAAAATGAGTGAAGGATTCGATCGTTCCAAGAAGAAGAAAAATCTTCCTGCCGGGGATCAACAAATGCCGTACAGTACCGTAACGACCGTTAGGATCTGGGGTCTCACCTCACGCAACAAATTATCAAACGATAAATACAATGCGATACATCCATGCATCCATCACGTGTCAGGCGGTCGTTGAAACCTTCTGGGCTGTACTTGATACACATTCTAGATGCGGACTCGTAAGCTCTTTTTATTTACTTTTTGCTTTTTCTTATCTGAACCGACCACTTACTTCACTCTGAGCTTTATTTTCTTTCACTAAGCCCAAGCGCTATTTCACTTCTTCAGCTCCCACTACCTAGCTAGCCAACTGTTCACCCTTCCTTCCCGGCGTCCCGCGTCCTACTTCCCGTACGTCTGAAACTCCCGTCGTTCGTTGATTGATTGATTCATTCATTCATTCGTTCGGCGAGGCTCAGGTACCCGTCTATTCCATGGTGTATAGTGGGGGAATGACCTCAAAATAAAAAATTACGGAGTAAATTATACATATATATTTTTTACAATGCCTCCCCGATACCCCACATCCGAAGAACCCATCTCGGCCGCCGCGCCCGTCACCGCAGACATAATAGCACCACTACCCGTGCCCTCCTACGGCGCCAGCGGCACCTTCACAGTCATAGCCCGCACGCGCATCTCAGCCTCGCCGCTCGCCGTCCTGAATACTATCCGCGATACGACAACATGGCCGAAATGGAATACTTTCTGTCCACGTGGTGTCATAATGGGTGCCTCGAAATCGAAGGGGAAAGGGATACGGAGTAGTACGAGTACGCGTACGGGTGTATCTGATATATATGGAGAGAAGGGGAAAGAGGGGTATGGACTTGGAGATTTCGGTCGCGGTGGCGGGGATGAGAGTCAGGGCTGGTTGGAACAGGGGAGTGAGGTTCTAGTCGACGTATTCCTGAGCGGCGACGGCCTAGTGCCCGGCCGGAAACGCACGCGGGCGCAAACCATCGCCGTTACGGTGCTCGAGCGCATAATAGACTCGGAGACGGAGGGCGATGGCGTTAAGAGGAGCGGCTATAGACTGGCCTGGAAGACGACGGGGTGGGCGGATTGGCAGTATCGCTCGGAAAGGGTCATGGAGTTCGTGGCGCGCGAGGAGGGCGGGACGGATTATACGTGTTGGGAGACTTTTAGCGGCGTGCTGGGACCGGTGGTTAAGAGGATTGCGGGGAGCAGTCTGTGTGATCGCTTTGGGGACTATGCGAGGGATGTTAAGGCCTTTTTGGAGGGTACCGAGTTGAATGTACACGTTGGTGAGGCCGAGGCGAATACAAAACGGAGGAGTATATAGGGAGATTTAAAAGCATTGCTGAAGAATAGATAGATAGCTCTGTTTCCAGTTGTTCCTACCTTTTACGTTACACTACTTGAATGCCACAGTCTAAGATGTGAGACGTCCGCTCAGGATTCAACATTGAGATTGACAACCATTTATCAGACGAAGTCATAGGAACGAAAAGCGTAGATTTGAACCGGGCTTTTCGCCTTTGAAAATAAATTGACATCAAGTATTTGCTTTTCTGTGGTATAGACAATAAACAATATAGAAAAGTCACAGACAATAGCAAACTCATCATACAATAGAGCGCCACCCATATTTGCTCATCACAAGACCCAAAGGAAAAGCTTTATACAGCTGGAGTGAAAACACACATAAATCATATCCCGATCCCAAAATCCCATCCGATATTTCCGTTTATGCTCCAGGTCGTCCCATCATTTATTTGCTCCAAATTCAAGCATCATCATGTATTCCGCATTCCCGACCTCCCCGAAGTAACCATAAATCCCAACCATAAATCCCCACCAAAACACCAACCAAGCCACCCAATAATGGAGCAAATGAATCAAAGAGCCAAGCCGGTTCCATCACCCGTCCAGCGGTACAAAGCAAGCACCTCTCGCCGCCGTAATTGCTGCTCGCCAAAGTCTTCCGGGACACGTCCTCTGACCTGCGCTAGCGCGGAACGCATTACTTTACGGAAGTTTCTCTGCTTACAGTATCAGCTTTTATGGACTTGTAGATACAAGTTGGAGGACCTACCTGATACTCAGTATTCAATGTAACCACACAAGCCTCATGTGCGCGCACAATCGTCTCACACGCTTTGATGACACTAGGGGATGCTTCGACCTGATGAAAGCAGCTACCAGTCAGTATCCATCCATGCGGACGCATCTCATGGAGAAGGGAAATTTCAGTACGCACTTGTAGCTTGTCTGCAATTAGCAAGAGCAAAAAGCTCCCCTGAAGCAAATACACACCGAAGAAGAACGGCATGAATTCGAGTCCGGGATCGTAGTCGAGGATGTGGTCGATGGCTTCCGCCGCGCTGACTGCGTGGCCGGTGGCGTTGATGAAGCTTTGCGAGGAGATCCACAGGTCGTTGTCGTCTAGTAGGGAAATGGGATCCCATTTTCCTGTCAATAGGATGTGAAGGACGTGCATCACGTGGGTTCCATAGGCAATGACAATTCGAGTTTGTATATCGGCCTCGGAAATGTGAGCAGATAAGGTCGTTTTGGTTGAGTGAACGGATGGCGTGCCGATTTCAGTGTGGTCCGTATTAGTGTCAATACTTTCGTCCATCGGGTTTCCGGGCTCTTCGATTGGAGTGCTGAGGTTTCTGGCCTCGAAATCTTGGAGACTTTGACCATAGGCTTCCAACTGTCTGGCGATTTCGCTGGCGTGGTCATCCCATTCCTGGGCTGAACGAAAGCCGATGCCAAATCGAGGGTGGTTTTTAGCGTGATAGAGATCTACGATCTCCCCGAGGATTGTCATGAGTGGTAGGAAGTATCCGAATATGCTATGTCCAGTACACTCAAAGTTAGGTCCTCTCCTTCTAATCCGTGGCGTGCCACTTGGGGAAGTAATATGAATGCTTGAATCACCAGTATAAAATTCTCCAGCCTATGGAGAAACTAGTCAGCAACGGCTTACAGATTCTCCTAATTCAAAATATGTCATTAGACATCTCGGCCCTGGATTGTTCTCAGAACCATGTTTGGTAAATGCTCCATGAATTTCAAACCCCTGGTTCGGGCCTTGAAAGTTTATGAAATAGGGGTACTCACTTGCCACAGCGTATCGTCCATGGGTTGGAGAAGGCCATCACACTCAATGTCTAACAAGAACAGAGGTCTGTTATAACATAGAGCGAGATGCCTATCCACAGTATAGGCCAACCACCACACCCTTCTCCGCTCTTCTCGTTCTTCTTCTGTGATTGTGCCGTGCGGGACATCATCATCGGCTTCTCCATCCGCATCCACATCGTTGACACCTGCTGCTGGCTGCTGTGGGGACATTGTGCCAGTGCTCTGGGACATTGTCGTAAGGCTGCTTTGAGGTAACTCCCTTCCAAGTTTCAACTCACGTGCTAAAGACCAAGCAGCATTCCACCAGCGGAGAGAGGCTCCCTTATACTCTGACGCGGAGACGACGGTGGCAAGGTGGATATAGGTCACCACATCATCAAGAGTTCCAGTAGCACCAAAGGCTCCTGTTTCTCCTGTGAGGCTATCAGAGTTCATAGATCCAGATATAGTAACACCCAAACCTCCAAGGGCAACACCATTAATAACAGTGTTGGAGAAATTTGGCGAGCTATCCCCGTCGGAGGAACCATGGATAAGAGGCTTCAGAAGGCCCACAGTAAGCTCCAGTAGACGTTGGCAGATCTTCCCCCGGGACGATGGAGGTGCTGTTAGGAATGCGGCATCACTAGTCTGAGCAACAACCCAAAGCATACTGGCCAGCAGCGCTGGGGTACATCGTCTCGGTTTAGTTGGGTGGAGGATGGAGTGTTTTCGGAAAACATATCCCAGGACATATGGTGACGTCGGGTGCATCAAGGCTGACGATGAACTTGCAAAGTACAAGTCGAGTAGATCACAGGCTAGGGATAAAGGAATGATGTTTCCCAAATGCGGTACGAGGGGTTGCAAGACGGGGTAACGAAGAGGAGTGTTGAAGTTCTGTGTCACGTGTTGTTGATACTGGTTAGATGGTGATGGCAATGACATCCATCCTCCCGGCGATGTGGCATCCGACCCCATAGAAAACCCGGGTAGAGGGCTATCGCCCAGACGAAAGGGTCCCGGAGTATTTCCCGGATAATGAGTCGGGCTTTGAGTTTGGATGGCATACTGGAGGTCTGTGTAGCCGGGTAAAGAGCCCTGTCCGGCACTGAAGTTACCGCCATTGCTATTCATCAGGTGGGAATTGATGGCGGGTCGATAGCCATGCATGCTAGAATAGCCGCTAATATTCAGGGACGCGGGGCTTTCGATTTGATCCGCTTCTGCACGACTAACCAAGTGAGGCTGATGTCCATGGGGCATTTCGGTGAGGCTCTCGAGGCTGCCAGTTCGCAGCCTTCCCTTGAGGTTTTCACGCGCGGATCCATTGTCAAGCCCCGTTGTGTTCAAACTTAGAGCTCTCTGCACCTGAGGTCGTTTGAAGTCATTATTGTCGTTTACGAGGGAGGTGGTAGCTGAGCCGCCGCTCTCATGTCGAGACTCAGTAGCTGATCTCTCTCCAGAAGATCTACCAGTGGGAGATTTCTGCCCATTTGCTGCTGCTGCCGCCGCTTGCTGTGCTAGATCTTTGCGTGAGGCCTTGCCTCGCTTCTTGCGTTCTCGGATGTATTCGCATCCCAATCCAAATTCTACAAACGAGTATTAGTAGTTAAATCTCTCATAATCACATTGCTTAAAACTTACCAACACAATGAGCGCACGGTGCCTGTCCGTCGCATTTCGTTCGGAGCTGGTTGCATTGATCACAGGCTCTGCTGATGCGCCGTCTAATCGGCCCAGAAACACCTGCGCCATTGGACCTGCCACTAGCAGGCCCATGTCCATAAGGATGTTGGCGATGTTTGGAATTGTGATTCCTATGAACTTGAGAATTCTGCTGATCGACGTGCTGTTGTAGGTGTTGGAGGGCGTACTGTGATCCGTGGGCTAGAGTATCGAGACCCGAGTGCATGTGATTGGAAGGAACATGTCCATTACTGAGCATACCGCTCGACGGCAAGGCATTGTATGCCGAGAAACGATGAAGAGGGTTTGAAAGCATTTCGAAGACGCCCTATAGTTCAATTTCGAAGAAGAAGCATCGGTGAAGTTTGAGGTTGTTTGGGATTCGAGCTGTTAAAGAAGTGCGGAGAAGGACAGCCTTCAGAGGTGTGCAGTCGGAGCATCTATAACAGATCTAGGTCGATACGGTCCGGGGTAGGCTGCACCCTGGTGATGGTCTCCTTGGCCATCAGCAGGAACCTCCATGTGCAAAGGAGAGAGAGAGACGAGAGTGCAACCAATTGTAATGGCGGGGTCTGCAATCATCTGCATAGAGCGAAAAAGAAGGCATGTCCTGGAGTTTATTGCTCTTGATTGTAGAGCGCAGGGGTCGAAGTACTGACCTGCCACACCCGATAACTGAACGATATGCTTTATTAAGTTACCAAACCGTGAAAGGCAGCTAAAAGCTTGACAAGGTTGGTTAGTCGAGACGGACCAGCATCGCGGCGTCAAGGCCTCCGACGGGCACCCTTTTTCCGCCTTTGTCAACTCCTACTGGCGATGTGACTCTCCTTCAGCCCTCTAAGTCCAATCAGGGAGACCTCTTTACCATGCTTGCAGGCCCGCACCTTGCCGAGATCTAGGACAAGGCCGACTTTCCTCAAGAAGGTCTCCCCGTTGAGCTTCGTGCAACATTGTAGCCGAACCCTGAGAGGAGCGCTAGTACTTCACATCGAAGATCTCGCACCAACAACCAACGAGTTAGCTACGCCGTACTCCGCAAACTCTCAGTTGGGGTTGAGGTAGCCTCCGTTCGACAGATCTTTTTGAAGGCCGATCGCCTGTCACGAACGCACCCCGCCATATGTCGTTGAGTTAAACAATTATTGCACCAATCGCATCATAGCTCAAGCCTCGGAGGGGTTTACCGTGGTTTCTCCGCCTTGATGTCGAAATAATACCAGCAGATAATAAGACTCTTTCTCGCGCCCGAAGGGTGAGTGTTACGATTCCCAATTGTACTTCTAGCTGCCAGCACGGTGCAGTAACACATGTCGTGCATGTATTGCTGGACCAAGGCAGGGTATGAGGCACCCACCACCCACCATGGGGAGGGCCACCCGCGTCAAGATTCTTACAGTTCAGAGATTCATATTGGGCAGGTCGGTCCGTTTGCAAGCATGGGTAATGATTGGCTAGAATACTTGCACCCATCCGGCCCCATGTTGAAAATGGATGAGCTGTTTAGATTCTCATTATTGATTTTGCTCAGAAATATCAGGCCTCAATCATAACTATGACTATTGATTGTCAGCTATGGCCTGTATGAGCAACACACGAGAGAGGCAAAAACGCACATCTTTACCCCGGATCTACAGTCTCCATACTCCGTACTCGCGTTTTCCATTTAACTTTGACACTCCGCACTACTTGGTGCGGGTAGATAGAATCTTGCATATATAATTGGCTCCCTACCCTAGTATATTGTAAGAACCAAGCCAATCTAGAGTGCGACCTTTCGGTTGGAGCCTTAACAGCCTCCCAGAGGTGCGGTGCATCTTCGAATGATTGTAACTCTTGGCGCGGCTAACAGGGGGTTTGGCTTGTAAGCGAATACTAGCGCTAATAAGAGTTACAATATTTAGGCCTGCACCTCCGTAAGTTTGATCAAGTCCGAGCTTTTAAAGTGGTGCGGAATATTTATTTATGGAATAAATATTGTCTCAGTGTAAGACTTGAGAGAGAGCGAGTATTCTCCGCTGCGTTGAAAAGAGGGCATATGCCGGAGTAATTTATGAAAATGCGGAGGTGCCAGGAACGAACAAGACCAGATCAAGCATTGGAGAAGCCAGACGTCAAAGGTAGATCGTCACAAGGAAAACTGAAACCAGACAGAATTGTTCAACTGGTTAGATCACAGAGTAATATTGCAAAAAACAGCCCATGGAGTCAGGTGGCATCGCAAATCTTTACACTGAGGCGTCTAGTTCAAGGGAACAGCGGGCCTAAAACCACTCGCTAATGTGCTTCGGCTGCTTAGATTGGGGATATAATATGGCGTCTGGCGTAAAAGTTCCGCATCAATATGACCTTGGCGAGTCTGGTAGAGGAATCCGACGACTTCAATCTGATACTCCGTACAAGTGTTCCTGGAATTTAAAGCTTGCATGCTTTAAGTTACTTCCTTGAAAAGATGGTCGAATCAATTTCGAAGCCCTTTGAAAGACCCCTTTCTTCCCCGCAAAGTGATGGAAGCGATCCCCTTTCCCCATGTTCCGAGCCGTTAAGGCATGGCGAAACACTACCGGCGGCAGTCCCGAGCACCCGTACCTCTGTGATCAAAATCAAACGTCGATTCAACACGAGCCCCAAATCTCGTCGTGAAGACGAAAGAGTCGCTCGGAGCAGCGGCATGACAGGGCTGTATTTGATGCAATCTCGATCTACTCAAATGAAAAGCCCGAGGTTGGAGAAGCAGATACTTCCCTAGTGCTTCTGAGAGTATCAGTTATTCGGCATTGAGCGAGTATCTAGGGTCCTTTCCACCTGTTGTAGATGTCTCAGAGTCTCAAAGACATTCTCGGGCATTTGTATAGCAAGGCTGTGTGTGTAGGGAAACCAAATGAAGCATCAAGCCATCTCCAACATGTCCCTTTATGGAAGTTGTGTAACACATGCAACGCGTCCTGACGCACTTCACCATGAGCCAACTTTGGAATTGGTAGGCCCTATGCGAGCCTTATCAGAAGGGAAAGGGGTGTGTAAACCGACCGAATTGCATCATCCAAATCGTCTCGAGGAACGGAGGATCCTGGCCAGTCCTACGCTGAAAGGTAGGAACTGCACGTGATTCGCCCTTACCTCTCTCACACTCTGCAGCCTGCCAGCTAGGTCATACATAACATGCGCAGAAATGTGCTGGAGTACTTCTCCCTTCTTTTACCATCCTGACCAGATTTCAGTATCACAACAGAAACTCGACCCATCTCACTCACATCCAGACCAGATCCAGCTCCAACTTTCAGCCCCACAGAATGTGGACTAGGATTCGAGATAATGGAGGGATGGAATAGGCAAGCCCGTGTTGCAACTACCGAATGCTTATCTCTCTGCGGCATTCTGTGCGTATTACAATACGAGTCTTGCCTTCCTCTCAGAGCCTCAGGTGGGATTGTTTGATATGCAATACGGCGCAGTAGAGTACAGTACACGAGGCATTGCCTCGAAAGGGTCTTCAACTTCAACGATGATCCAAGAACAACTCACTCATGAGAAGCTTGGCAAAACAAAAAAAAACCGAGAGGTATCCGAGGCTCGCGAGGGTAGGTAGGTATCCACGAGTAAGTACCGGGCCGGTAACGGTAACGATTGTTTAAGTACCTGTGTACCTTTCGTGCATCACCCTCACCTTACCAAGCAGACGTGGACGTGGCATGACATGGGCGGGTCGAGATGGCATTTCTTTGCGAAGCGAGACGCTAGGCCCAATTTAATGACAACCACATCGGTCAGCAATTCCTAACATCAGCAGTCACGAATTTTCTGGCCTCAAGCACAAATCCCCAATTTTACTTGAGAAAAGTAGGTACTTTGGATAAGTGAGTTGTTCAAGGTTACAACATCCTGCGAGTCCTGACTCCTCACGCATGCGTGCGAGCCATCAAGGGTCAACGCGTCGTACAGTGTACCGTGTGCCATCAGTAGATTGATGTACCTTTTTTTTCTCGTCCACGTCCACGTCAATACTGTAAGATTCTCTCCCTTGATTGCCAATCAATCAGGGTGGAGTGAAGCTATCCGAAGTCAATATCAGGCGCGTCCACCAAAAGGTTTTTTCCCTCTGCTGTCTACTTGTGTTTTGTCGTCCCTTCCAGCCAAATGTGGAGCTGTTTGCCCCTCTCGACTAGTCCTACCTCCGTACGCTCGACGTCATTTACTTACATATACAATTGACGGTCGACGGAAGTCACGAATACGAATACAAATGATATAAGTATCCGAATATTCCTCCATTCTATCTTTTATCGCGCGCCTCTTGCATCGTATCAATATCTTACTGTCAAAATTGTAAAGCAGTGTAAACTTCCTGACTTATACCCGCATTTACGTCCGATAGTGGGGCTACTAGTAAATATTTGTGTCGGGATCCTTTCCATCAGTCCGACTTCCTCATCTCGAATAATACAAACATCCAACATATCAAGATGTCTTCGATTCCCAAATCCACCAAGGCCTGGACTGTCCATGGCGCCAATGGTTTTGATAGCTTAAAGCTCAATGAACAAGTCCCCGTCCCGGAGGTCTCGGATTATGAGGTTCTAGTCAAATTCCACGCAGCCTCACTCAACTACCGTGATCTGATCATCCCCAAGGGTAAGTAACTACCCCATCGCAACTTCCCCAAACTAATACCCCCAGGCCTGTACCCCTTCGCTCTAGCCGACGACGTCGTCCCTGGCTCTGACGGAGCTGGCGAAGTAATTTCGGTCGGTTCAAAAGTAACGCGCTTCAAGCCCGGCGCCAAAGTCGTCACTCTCTTCAACCAAGGCCATCTCGGCGGCTCCCTCAACCCGCAAACCTACGCCACCGGTCTGGGCGGCGTTATCGATGGCACGCTCCGCCAATACGGCACCTTCAATGAAAACGGCCTAGTCGATATGCCGCCCTCGCTAAACTGGCACGAAGCCTCGACGCTTTCCTGCGCCGCGCTCACGGCTTGGAACGGGCTTTATGGTCTCAAGCCCGTGAAACCCGGCGACGTGGTACTCACGCAGGGTACGGGCGGAGTGAGTATTTTCGCATTGCAGTTTGCGAAGGCGGCGGGCGCCAAGGTTATTTCTACGACGAGCTCGGCGAAGAAGGCGGAGGTTCTGAAGAAGTTGGGCGCGGATGAGGTTATCAATTACAAAGAGTTCACGGAGTGGGGCGAAAAAGCCAAATCGCTCACCGCTGGTGGGGAGGGAGTTGATCATATTATTGAAGTTGGAGGGTCGACCACTATGGAGCAGAGCTTGAAGGCTATCAAGATTGATGGTGTTATTTCGGTTATTGGCTTCTTGGGTGGAAATGGTGAGAAAGAGCCGAGTTTTCTGGAAGCGTTGCTCAAGCTTTGCACGGTTAGAGGCATACTTGTTGGGAACAGGATCCAGTTTGAGGAGATGAATAGGGCTATTGAGATCAATAAGATTAAGCCGGTGGTGGATGAGAAGGTATTTTCGCTTGATGAGTTGAAAGAGTACGGTGGTCCCTTGTTCCCCTGATTATACATTTTACTAACTGAAGTCAGGGCATACCAATATATGTGGGACCAGAAGCATTTTGGAAAGCTTACAATCAAAATCGAATAAGCAGCAAAAAATGCAGAAACATAAGACTTAGATGGATTACAATAGCCGAGTCCTCAAAAATGCAATGCATTCGTTATATAATCGCTGAGCTTTTGCATCGCTAAGCAACACTCACGTGTTATACTAGGGTAGGCCACGAAGATGACCGAGGTAGAGCTTGAAGCCAGAATAGGATGTAATAATCATCATTGTGATTGATGTAGAGTGAGGATCCATCGACCGCTTTCCTATAATACCTCCTCGTTTATTTTCTTAATTCACTGGTTTATATTTGCGGCTAGAGCTATAGCAACTACAGATCGGTCTTACAACACGTGGTATAATACACATTCCTGAAACACTATCTAAAATCTCCATTTACCCGTCGAAATTAAATGCGACGTCAGTTGTCGTTCTTCGAATTGCGAATCAATTCCTCGGCTACTACATTCAGACTTATTCCATCAAATCAGGGCAAAGAAAACATCCCTATCGGTTCAAAATGGCGAACGCAAAACCCCCTTACGACCCCCAAATGATGGAGACCCTGGTCTTCGCTGGGGCTCTACCTCCCAACGGCCCAAAGCCACCACCAACAAAGGAGAACCTTGCGGAGCACCGAAAATTCTCGACGCTCTTCGAACCAAAATACGATGACTACCCAGACTTGTCCCGTGAAGATATCTCGATCCCTGGCCCCGATGGCAATACCATTGAGCTCACTATTGTCCGGCCAAAGGCTCCGGCGAAAGAACCTCGGAATATCATCTACTACATCCATGGCGGTGGCATGATCATGGGAACAAGACACTTCCTGCTTTCCGAGGCATTCCCATGGATCAAGGAGCTGGACGCTGTTCTCATCTCCGTCGAATACCGCCTTGCGCCCGAACATCCACACCCGGCTCCCGTCGAAGACTGTCACACAGGTCTGAAATGGATCTGCGAGAACAGCTCGAAGCTAGGCATCAACGCAGGCAGGATCATGATTGCAGGCCATTCTAGTGGAGGGGGGTTAGCAGCAGGCACAGCGCTGCTGGCACGTGATCGCAAACTGCCTGTAGCGTTGTTCGCGCAGCTCCTGATTTATCCCATGCTGGACGACCGGAATACCACGGCTTCAAGCAGACAGTACTTTGGGGAAGGAACGTGGACGGGCAGGACCAACGCTGTGGCGTGGTCTTGGCTCTTGCCGAACGATGATGCGCTGGGCGTGCAGTACGCTGCTCCAAGCCGAGCGACTGATTTGTCCAACTTGCCGACGACGTTCTTGGATGTTGGAGGAGCAGAGGTGTTCAGAGACGAAGTCATAGCTTATGCTTCGAAACTCTTGGGACAAGGGACTCAAGCAGAGCTGCACGTTTGGCCTGGTGGTAAGTATGATCTACCCCTGAGAGCTTTGGATGCTAATGGGTGTAAACAGCTTACCATGGCTTTGATGTTTATTCTCCTGCTTCGGATTTGGCAATAGCGGCAAAGGCGAGCAGACTCACTTGGATGAAGAGAATGTTCTACGGTCCGCCAGCAAACAAAGACTGAATTCGGGTAGATGATTTCATAATAGGAGTAAGTAGATATTCGCGAGCCGCAAACTGACGGCTAAGCCCGACTCCCATTTCGACACGAAAATCAATCCCCACACTTTCTTCTATTCTTTGTCTCAGAGTAGTAAACAACGGTAGATTGAAATATGCTGTGGGAAATGAAAAATTATTTTCTATTTCGAAGTTGTGGACAAGGTTCAATAGATCTCTCTTTTTACAAGGGCGCTCAGTCATGACGTAACTCCGTCCACAACAACCACAACCACAACCACATTCCTTTAAGTTTCCCTCCCCCCTTACTCCGCAGAACATTTTCTTGTATCCATTTCTAGAAATCTGCAACTGCCTGACTGTGATTTTTGAAAATGGCATTGACACAAGCAGCCGCATTTATTGAACAAAAGGTCCTCGGCCATGACAACAATGCCACCACCGAGCAAGACATCACAAACCCAGGCCGCGATAGAGCAAAGTATGCCGACCCAAGTGGAGAAATAATGAAAGCTCTTGTGTGGATGGGAAAAAATACCGTGGAAGTCCGTAAGTCTCCCTTTCTTGTCCCTGCTCAATTTAAAAGTAAAAATGTAACTAAACCCCACAACTGTAAAGGCGACGTCCCAAAACCCCGCGTAGTAGAAGACAGGGATGTGATTTTGAAAGTTACGGGAAGTACGGTGTGTGGCAGTGACTTGCATTTGCTGCATGGTACTGTCTTGCAGCTTGAGAAAGGCGATATCTTGGGCCATGAGTTTTGTGGTGAGGTTGAATCGATGGGAAAGAATGTCACGGGACTGCAGAAGGGGGATCGCGTTGTTGCTTCTTTTCAGATTGCTTGTGGTGATGTATGGTCCCCGATGCGTTTCCTGCGAATGATGGTTGATGAGATTAGTGTTACTACTGCAACAAGAAACTGTCTTCGCAGTGTGAGAAGACGAACTCCAATACTATCGAGAACGGAATGGTAAGCGAGCAATTGGCGTTATTTGTTGTTTGGTTGCTGTACTAATAACGTCTCAAGTACGGTGGAAGAACAGCTGGAATTTTTGGATACTCTCACTTCACCGGCGGTTTCGCAGGTGGACAAGCCGAATATGTTAGAGTGCCATACGGAGATGTTAATCTCTTGAAAATCCCATCCAGTGTCCCCGACGAAAAGGCGTTGTATCTCTCAGATGTTTTGGCCACTTCATGGAACGCTGTAGTCGATACTGGCGTTGAGCAGGGCGATGTAGTAGCGATTTGGGGAGCTGGTATGTCACTCACCTCTACCTCCATTTCCCCATGACTGATCATGCCTAGGACCCATTGGACAAATGGCCGCCGAGTTCTCCCTCATCAATGGCGCATCTAAAGTCATCATGATTGATAGCAACTGGCGATTGGATTATGTCAAGTCCAAGTATCCAAATATCGAGACCATTGATTACAGTACTCTCCCTCGTGGAACATCCGTCACTTCAAAATTGAAGGAGATGGTTCCCAGAGGTCCCGATGTTGCGCTTGAATGCGTGGCAGGCGAGTATGCCAAGGGCTGGGCGCATTACTTTGAGCTTATGCTTGGATTGGAAACTGATAGCTCTGAGATTGTCAACGAGATGATCACCTCGGTGAAGAACTTCGGTCGCTGTGGGATTACTGGTGTCTATGTCGGCTACGTAGGTCTCTTCGTCTCCCGTATCAGACAGTCGTTAACCTAATAACAGACCAACCATTTCAACATCGGTTCCTTGATGGAGCGTGGTATCCGTCTCATTGGAAATGGCCAAGCCCCGGTCCATATGTACTGGGAGAAGCTTCTCAAAATGATCGAAAGTGGTGAGATTGACCCGCTTAAGATGGTCTCCCATCGAGTGAAGATGGAGGAGTTGGCCGAGGTGTATTATAAGTTCGAGAAGAAGGAAGATGGGATGCAGAAGGTGTTTGTCGAGACGAAGTTTTCTGCTCCTGCGGCTGCGGGAAGTCCTGCTTTGACTACGTATACAAAATGATGGTGAATGGGTTCTATGATAGTCATGATGATATGTAGGAGTTTTATTGCGAGGAAGAACATGAATGATCTGACTTTAGTTCAAATACCTTTTCGTCAAGGAACCTTGTGAACCGTAGAAAACTAGGGCTGTTACACAATTTTTGTCAAATACTGCAGTGCATTGTGAAACAATCAAAGCAGCCAAATCATCATCAAGAGATAAATGATGGTCAAATCTAGCTCTGCTCTTTCTTCTTTTTCATCTCGTCGACTCACTTCTCCTTTTTCAAGAACCCTTGCTTCCCAGCACGCTCACAAACCTCCTTCAACTTCTCAGCGACCCACTCGAAATCTGTGATATCCAGGTACACTTGTCCACTCAAACGAGCCCACCACTGTCCCTGAAAGAAAAATATAGCAAGAAAAGTGTTATGTTCGTCAATCAGTATTTTTTGCAGCCTCAACGTAACTTCAGCTACATCCGCTGATTTGACCGTATTAGTCCCAGGGATAGCGGATTCGGAGACCTCCAATGGCAGCAGGACGTTCACCAGGTTGCAATCCGTCAAAGTGTGCTCGTCATTGTCCAGAATCTTCGTCCCCAGGTACTTCGCTACTGCTTTCCCGCCCTCTCTTGCCAAGTTCGTGTTATACTCCATGATAGCTTTCTCGCCACCACAGACCTCCTCTCGCCATTTGATAGCTTCAGGGACGACGAGGTAGTTCGTGTTGTCAATGGTACCCACGAACTCGAAGTTATTTACAAACTCGCTGTTTACTGCCGGTGGCATCGAGCTAGGCGTTCCTCCACCACCACTGGTTTTCGGTTGAAAGCCATGAGATGTTGGGAGGGACGACCGAATAAGTCCTTGGTTTCGCACTGGTACGTACAGCACGGCACAGCCACGAGGGACGAAGAGCCATTTGTGCACGTTACTGACAAAGAAGTCGGGGTCTATAGCTGAGAGATCGAGGGGTATATGACCTACTCCATGGGCGCCGTCAACGAGCGATAGGATTCCTTCTTCTTTGCAGATTTTGGTGAGCTGGTCGAAGGGCACGCGGAGACCGGGGAGTGAGGATACTGTGTCGAAGACCGCAACACGTGGAAACTTCCTGGCTGCTCGAGAGGCGCGTATAGTCTCTTTGAAGACCTTTACGACATCGGCGTCTGAGAGCGGGTAGGTCACATGCATCTCTCGTGGTTGGACGGCATAGCGGTTGATCTCAGCCACGCATTCGATTGTCTTTCCGCAAGCTCCTAGATCGATGGTTAGAATAGCGCTCGATATTCAGTAGGACGGTACCAACCATAGATGGTGTTGAAGTAAAGAATCTCGTCTCTTCCATCATCATGCCAAGGAATATTACGAAGCACGGTATTGACACCCATGGTAGCATTCGGAACATGAACAATGGTCTCGATTGGAGCATTGAGGAGTTTGGCTATAGATGCTCGGGACTCATCCAGCAGCTTTGGATACGTGTGGCGTATGAAGAGATCTGGTCGAGCTTCACATTCATCTTGGTACGCTCGTTGCTTATCTCGAATGGCTCGAGGAGGTGCACCGAACGAGCCTGAATGAATGAGCCAAAGCTTTAGAATGGGGGTCGAGTATAGGGGCAATAATACCATGATTGAGGTTCTTCCAAGCTGGGTCGAAGAGGAAATTCTTGAGCATTTCCTTTCCGAAAGGAGTACGCTGGTACTTTGTCTCCTCGTTGAGAGATACTTCCCCCATCTTTGTATCTAGGAGCTCGGGCATTTAGAGGAAGTGAAGTAGGGTAATGATGACGAGACAAACGAAGAAGCAGAGAGGAGAGCGAAGAGAAAGATAGTGGAATATATACAAAGAATTGAAGCTAAACTATGACTCTATACAATTGGATGATGACTCAACTGATTGGTCTTGCGGGACCGGATGTCAAGCACAGGGCGAGGGCAGAGAAATGGAGGGGTGGAAAATGAGTAAGAGGCACTTTATCGGTATCGGCGTACGCAAGGTTACAAGTCCCGTGTAGTTTATGGCTGGCTGAATGGGGGTTGTTGGTGGTAGCGTAGCTGCTTAGTCATCGTCCACTTTAGCGTCTTGGCTTTATTGAGTTTGAAGTTAGATAACCGTTTGATAACCAACTCGTCACCCGAAAGGTAATTCTAAAAAAAGATGGCCATGAGACTGAACAGATTCAGAATCAATCTAGTTGTTGGTATTCTGCTTGCCTCACTCGTCTTGTTCTACACAAGAGAACGAATCTTGAATGCCTTCAACATCGAAAAATTTAGGACCCAAGAACCTACCACCGCTGTACCAAAACCTGGAATCGTTTCAACCACAAGCATCGCGAACGACAGTACCTTGGATAACCTCCTCCGAACTCAAGCACAATGCGTGGGAGACTTCCCGGACCTTTATGAATCGATCGATCGTTCCGTGGCCCATTACCAGAAGCATCCTCTGAAGCGCGCTGATCTCGAAAAGGCATTTCAGGGCCATGAAAGCGCTTATACCTGGGTAATCCTCCACAACAACCAACTTTACGTCCGCTCGCGTCATCGCGGATTCCAATCCCGCGTGCAAGCGGTACTCGCGGATCTGCACCGAGCTGTCTTGACCTCCCCAGAACGTCTCCCCAATATCGAATTCCTCTTCGATACAGCCGATTCTGCGCCTTCAGAAACATATACCCCTGTTTTCGGTCTGTCGCGTGGGCTTGATGAACGGGCATTCCTGATTTCAGATTTTGGGTATTGGGCGTGGCCGGAACCGTATGTCAATGGATTTACCGAGTTTGAGAACCAGGTGGAGAGGGTAGAGGAAGAGGTGCCGTGGAATGACAAGAAGGACCAACTGTTCTGGCGCGGAAATGTGGATATGAATCCGGAAAGGCAACATCTAGTCAGTATCTCTGACCAACACAACCAGACCTGGGGAAACGTGCGGCATATCGACTGGGCCAATTTGAAGGAGGACGATCGATATGACATAGCTGATCATTGTCGGTTCAAATTCGTGGCTCATATCGAAGGGGCGAGATATTCTGCCAGATTGAAATACCTACAACATTGCAACAGCGTTATTGTTACCCATAAGCCAAGGTGGACGACACCTCTAACGCACCTCCTGAAGCCAGAGGGCGTAGAACAGAACGTTGTGGTTGTGGGGTCGGATTTCGCAAAAGTCGAAAAAGTCATGGAAGACCTACTTTTGAACAAGGAGAAGGCGGCGAAGATTGCTCGCAACAACCAGGAGATCTTCGGAAAGAAATATGGGAGGTTAGGCGCTGAAACATGCTATTGGCGCGAGTTGATCCGAGGATACCATTCTATCATGACACCAGAATTCCAGAGTAGTGTTAATAGTAACGACGCGAAAGATTATGAGAGTGTAATGTTGATGGGAAGCACAGAATGGGATCTAGCATAATATTAATACTATCTATTGTCTTTCCGCTACTCAAAACACGCTCCTCGCTACCCTTGGTAATTACCGCAAATTGAAGTCAGCCGACTATTACATTGTATTACTAACACAAATAATGTTAGCGTTCATGTTCATAGTTTCCTTACCTCTCTTATTCTCACGGCGGTGCAATCATCAATTTTGGGGGTGGAAGCAGATCCCGCATAGCAAGAGATAGGAGATTTTAAAGAGGCTTTCTCAAAAGGTTGATATACTACTGAAGCCGAACTTTATAGAGCCTTCTTAGTATTCTATCCCGGTAATACTAGCCTTGACACGTTAGCATAATAACAACCTAGACAAGTACCTAAGCTGACTCAAAGTACGAAGTAGTATGGGGGACAAGTCGGCTAATCTCCGATATGAAGGGGGTGTGACGCTTATCAGCCAGCCCGATAACGTAGTATTTCTTTATTCTGTAGAATACACCAACCATCAACCAGTCGCATTTCGAAGACGAGACAGAGATCTCGGCGAATACAATCATGTCTTTAATACAGCTCTCAAAGCTCCTAAATCTACCAGAAGGAGAGCTCAAGCAGGTCTTTGACTATGCTACGACACTCTCAAAGCAAGAAGCTGCGGATCATTTCAACAACTTTCTCGGGGAGTCACCACAATCAATAGAATTCATCTCCTCGTTCAATTCCAGCCGCAAAGATCCAACTTCTGCCTCGGCCTCCAGAACCGCAACCCTCTCAAATGAAGCATCCGGAGTCCCCAAATCTCGCAGAACACCAAAACAGAAAGCGCCCCTCCATACACCCAAACCCCGCCAAATACAAGATAATTACGCCGCCCAAGGCACCGCATACGTCAAGAAGAATGAAAATGACTATATGACCAAACGACCTGCTGTTTCTGCATCTACATCTAATGCATTTACCCTCCAAGCCAAACCCGAAGCCATCCAAGCACCCATTCCCAAACCACCACCTTCAGCAGCTGGAACCTTGATCTCCGACTTCAAGTCCAAAAGCAATTCCACCTCCCGAAACGCCTCGCGCACCTCTTCCCCCGCACCCTCGAAGACAAAGGTAAACATCACAGGTGGCACATCTATGCACGGCGCATCCTCTGCGCTCAACGAACTCGATGCCGCGATACGCAGTCTAGAAATATCCACTAATAGCTCTCTCATGCTCGATACCGAAAAGCGGAAATGCAACTGTATTGGAGCCCGCCATCCGTTACTAGAAGCTGCGCCCAACTGCCTGAGTTGCGGCAAGGTTATATGTGTGAAGGAGGGACTGGGTCCCTGTACATTCTGCGGAACGCCGTTGCTAAGCGCGGTGGAAGTACAGGGCATGATACGGGAACTGAGGGAGGAGAGAGGGCGGGAGAAGATGGCGCTCGATGCAGCTGGTCATAGACGCGCTGAAGTATCCAAGAAACCAGCGCCTTTCAGCACGCCCAGGGCCGTGGAAATGAGTCCCGCGGAAGCGAAAGCCAAGGAGCATAGAGACCGCTTACTAGGGTTCCAGGCCCAGAACGCGAAGCGGACAACAGTTAGAGATGAGGCGGCGGATTTCGAGACGCCGGTTACGGGCGGGGCGAATATATGGGCTAGTCCTGCGGAGCGGGCGAAGCAGTTGAAGAAACAACAGAAGGTGCTGGCGGAGCAGGAGTGGAATGCGAGGCCGGAGTATGAGAAGAGGAGACAGGTGGTAAGTATTGATATTGTGAAGGGGAAGGCTGTCAAGAAGATAGCCATGGCTGCTGTAGAGAGGCCGCAGGTGGCGGAGAGTGATAGTGAAGAAGAGGTATTACCGTTGAGTAATACAAGTGGGAACAAAGGCGGCGGAACTTTCAGTCGGAACCCGTTATTGGGAGGCTTAATAAGGCCCGTTTGGAATGCTGGGAAAGGTAAAGAAGCAGAGACTGCCGAGACGGCGATTGAACCTAGGAAAAAGACATGGCGAAGGGTACAAGACGATCTAGAGGACAACGAGGCTGTCATTTTAGATGGAGGGGTCTATGGCGGCGATACGTCTGATAGCAAATTAGAAGCAGAGGGGCCCGGATGTGGTTAATCCTCTACCAATATGAAAAATACCCAACTTTTACTCGAGTACACCACCCCAACCATACTTTTCCTACTTCTTCTTAGCCCTTTCTCCTCCACACCCCCCCCCCC